AATTAACTCCCTCCCCCAACCCTATTATTCAGTAATAAAAAGGAATGCAGTACTGATGCATGCCACAACACGGATGGGCACTGAACACACTATGCTAAATAAAAAGAAACCAAGTCACCAAGGACTGCATATTGTACTATTCCATTTATACCATTTATAAGAAACATCCAAAATAGACAAACCAATCAAGACAGAAAGCAGATTAATGCTTGCCAGGAGCTGGAAAAGGGTGAGGGGATCGGGAGACTATGGGATGACAGCTAAGAGGTACAGAGTTTGTTTCTGGAGTGATGGAAATGTTCTAAAACTGACTGTGGCAATGGATGCACAAGCATGGTACGTGAACCGCACCTCAATGAAGCTGTTACAAAAAAGAGCAGCAAGGACCTATCACATCAGACAGGGAAGAGGCGGAACATGACTTGCAGTGTCACAGCACGTCCCTTAAAAGAACACATTCTCACAAATCAAACATTCATGATGGGTAGGGGGAGTGGGGAGTAGAAGATTAGAAAAATAAGACTACCACTTCAGAGCAATGAGTCCAAACGTCCCCCTTCACCGCCAGCACTGATGGATGCAAACAGCAAGATATAGGAAAGGAACAGCCTGAAAGCCACATAGAAGCTTAGTGCAGAGGACTCACAGCCCCGGTACCTGGGCAGAATTCACCCCCCCCCCCACCTGTTAGCTACCCAACTCCAGAAGGGGTTAAGAGGGGCCCAAGGAATCGGCAGGTTCCTAGATGCCACCTAACAGGTTCTTTGCAACCAAAGATGGGTCACAAAGAGTGGAAAAGGCTCCTAAGGCGAACCAAGATGTCCCCAGGACAAACTGCCCAGCCCAGACAAAAAGCTGAACCAGCCAAGGCCTAAGGTGGGCAAGGTCAGGACTCCACAAATTCGGGGGCTCTGGGCAGGTGTGGACTTATGCAAGAATGACAACTGACAGGGGAAAGAGCTGCCCAAAGCCAGGAAGCAACATGGTCAGAGACACTGCAATTTGAACTCAAGCCTGCCCCACTCCAAAGCCCCAACCCTTTCACACACACCTCTACCTCTCCACACTGCCAAACAGGCCCCTGATGACCAGTCTCACCAGGCTTAGTCATGGCAGCATAGCTGCCCACAAAAATGTATCAACCGCGAGCGTCACACCAACAGGCTACTTCTCCTTCCCACCACGCTTGGATGACTGAAAGAGAGCAGCAGGGAAGGCAGGAGAGGAAACCAGTTCTGTCTCAAAAAGACACCCATCATTCTGACATCTTCAGGCTCACGGAGCCGTGGACTGAGTTCCTGAAAATCTCAAAGCTAAGCAACCACCTCATGAGCAGCTTCTTCCCCTGATCAGTGAGAAAACACAGGTACATGGAGTCAGTGCAGTGGTATAGCATGCTAATCCTTTGCCTGTGGTACTGGCACTCCATATGGAGTGCTGGTTTGAGTCCCAGCAGCTCCACTTCCAATTCAGCTCCCTGCTAATGGCCTGGGAAAGCAGTAGAGAATGGACTAAAGCCTTAGGACCCTGCACCCAAGTGGGATACTTAGAAGAGGGTCCTGGCTCCTGGCTTCAGACCATCCCAGCTCTGACCATTGTGGTCATGTGGGGAATGAACCAGAGAATGGAAGAGATCTCTCCCTCTGCCTCCCTCCCTCCTTCCCTCTTTCTCTGTAACTCTTTCAATTAAGATAAAATTAATCTTAAAAAAATAAAAAAAAGAACAGAGGTGCAGAGAGCACAGGCAGGGCCTACTCTAGTTCGCCCAGGAAAGGCCCCAACAGTCCCAGATTTGAAAAGTTAACACCCTGACTACAGGTACCAGTCCCCCTTTGACCACCTCTGAAGAGCTTTGTGGGGTCCCCAGGCTCAGGGAACTTCCAAACTGTCCTTTTCACAGGGCTGGTTCCCAGCAAGGCGGTCACTTCCAGGAAAGGAAACCCTGCCATCGCCACCTTCCCAGCACCTGGACACAATGGTGCCTAAAGGGAAGACAGGTCTGTTCACAGAGTCAGGACAAATCAGAAATGGTCAGCACGGGGGGGGGGGGGGAGGGGGTAACTCATCACTCAGACTCAGATTTCCTCTCAACAACAGCCCCTTCTTCCCAAGGGTACTACTGGCCTCTGGGAACAGGTGACCCTGATGACACTTCAAGACCAAGACAACCTCTTCTCAGCCCTAAAAGGTCCCGAGTTGGACCAGATGAGGCGGGGAGCAAAGGGAAAAATTTTCCCTTTAACTCAAGAAGTGGGAGGACAAAGAACCTATCTCATGTCATTGGGGAGGGGAAGCTACACGCAGGCGCTCACAAGCCTCTTCTTCCATGTTCTCAGGAGTGAGGCCAGGAGTGAGGGTAGGGCAACACGAGAAGCAGCACGGAGCATTCCTCCTCAGGCCCTGGGACCAGGACATATTGCTCCCTACTTCTGTGAGCAAGGAGAGACTTTACCAATGAGAAAAATAAATAAATAAAATAAAATTCTCAGCGCTGACCCTGTGAGGTCCAGACAACTGACTGTCAAAAATAATGATGGTGGGAACAGCAGTAAGGGGCTCAAGCCAAGGCCCTTGCCCTGAAATACAAATAGATTTCACCTGAGCCAAGGGGGAGCTGGCCACAGGAGGAGAATCTCTCTGGAGTGGGGAAATCCTAAGCCCCTACTCATCTACACCATTTCAGAACTCTGAATATTTTCCTGACTGGAGACAAGCAGATGCCCTGTCAGGGAAAGACTCCGAAGCTCTGCAAGCTCTAGTGGGGAGCCTTAGACTCCATATCCCCAGCATATGACCTGCTCCGAGAAGCCAGGGGGCCGCTGGAGCCTTCTAGGGGCTCAGAGCAAATGGCTGTGGCATCTTGAAAGCACCAGGTTCTTTGTCCAAGGAGGAAGTCTCAGCCACACTGTGGATGACCTCCTGTTCTCCCTGGTGCCAAAGGATTGCTTAGTGTGGTCAAAGGAGAGCTTGATGCCCAAGGGGGTGCTCAGTCCTCAGTCCCTCCAGGGAAAGAGCTCTTGTCCCAGAGCAGAAGCACAGGTTCCTGGGAGAGAGCGGAATGCGAGCCTTAGGCCCAACTAGCCAATGCAGAAAGTCTGTTCCTAAAAACTTCCTATGACTGGGGCTAGCACCCTACAATCCTGCAGTGCCGGCATCCCATACATGCACTGGCTCGTGTCCTGGCTGCTCCACTTCCCATCCAGCTCTTTGTTTGTGGCCTAGGAAAGCAGTGGAAGATGGCTCAGGACCTTAGGGCCCTGCATCCCTGCAGGAGATCTGAAAATGCTCCTGGCTTCAGACCAGCTTAGTTCCAATCATTATGATCATTTGGGGAGTGGACCAGTAGATGAAGATCTCTCTCTCTCTTTCTCTCTCTGGCTCTCCTAACTCAAATAAAAATAGAATAAATCATTAAAAACAACCTTCTATGACTAAGGCTGGGGTGTTTGAGGTGAGGTTGATGGTGCCTTCTGGGAAGATTCAGGCCTCAAATCCTAAGGTAGGTAATAGGAACAGACTGTCATTCACCCCAGTTAAAGCCACTGAGGGGAGACTCAGTAGCCTGTTTGTCAAGGCTCCGTGCTGACAGGAAGAGGCCTCCTGTTCCTGAGCAGTTCCTTGAGGAGAATGCTCCAACCTTATCTCTAGGGACAGGACAGTCCCTGAAGTATACATGGATTTCCTGTCTCCGAGGAAAAGCTGTGCATCCTTAGCCCAGTGGGCCACAGGCCCTAGACATTTAGAGCCCCAGGGAGGCCTGCTACATTACCTGTGGGAATCCATGCTGCCCATGTCCCGAGGCAGGTCTGAGTCTCCAAGAAAGAGAGGGGGTGGCACACGTCCCTGACAAGAAGTAAACCCTTGCAGCACGAAGAAGGTTCCCAAGGTGTATTTCAGGCCTGTATAACTGGGATGGAAGGGCCTACAACCCTGTAGTGTGTGTGTGTGTTGGGGGGACCTCAGCCCTCGAGAACATTCAGACAGCAGCCCATGCCAGGAATGTCCCCCTCCCTCCCAAAAAAACTCATCTTGCCTGTCCCTTCTGCTGGAGGCTATCAGACTCACAGTTCAGGAATTCCAGTCCACTAGCAGGAGGCTCTTGGGCCCCCTAGCCAAAGTTTGGCAAGGGAGGGGAGGGTGGTTGTCATTTTCTTTACAGGCAGCCCAAGCCCTGGGGGGCAGGGGCACCTCTGGAAAGCAAGCAGCCCCGGGCCCCTAGTGAAGCAGCACAGACCCAAATGCAAATATTCTCTCTCATTCCTGGGAGTAACTTGTTGTTGGTCTCTGTCCACCAAGGGAGGGAATCTTATCTCCTAGGGATCAGAAAAACTCCTAAGCTCACAAGACTGCCTCTGCTGTGCGCAAGTGCACATACTCACAGGCATACCCCCCGCTGAGCCCTTCATTCTCTAGCAGGGTGTGCCTGAGGGCCCCAGAGGGCATGTGCATGCCCCTAAGGAGGCAGGAGGGGCACAGCCTGCAAGGGTCAAGCGGGCGCCCTCTCCAGAGTATCTCGCATTCTTGGTATCCAAACCTTCAGTTTCTGTAGGGACCCTCAGACCCCATCTTTGAGGGCTTCCCTCACCTTACTTGAGGTCTCAGGAAGGGGGGAATTGCAGACTCCCACCCCAGAAGAAAGTAGATGTCAAGCTACAGAACACATACCTACATCCCTCAGGGTGTCTTGAAGAAATCTCAGCTATCCATTCCTCCAGAGGAGGCCACAGGGCCTTGGAGGGACGCCGACTGACCCCTAAACAGACTTTCCACGCCACCCTTTCAATCCCTGAGCCCACCACCTCATCCAAAGCCTCTAACCCCAATTCCTGGGTAGGAGTTAGTAGATGCTCCCCTACCCACAGAGATGAATGGCCCACATGCGAAGCCCAGTTCTCCTTAGGCAATCTCAACCAGCCTTTCTGGGGTCCCCTTTTCTCTGCCTAGGGAGTGCTGGCTTTTTCCCATGCATGCCCGCTCTCCTTCCCGCCCCCAGCCCTTACCTGTTCCACTGTCGCAGGGTCCATGGCTTCGATGCGCGCAGCTGCAGCCTCATACTCGTCCTCACTATTGTAGCCCGCACCGACCTCCTCACGCTCCGGACTGCCCCCGCCAACAGCGCCAACACCAGGAGCCTGACGACGCCGCTTGCTATGTCCCGGGCCTGAGCAGCAGCCCCCCACGCCCACAGCACCACCGACGCCCACCACCACGCCCGGTGCGCCTACCCCTGCCGCAGCTGCACCCAGAGCATCACCAGGACCGCCTCCGGGACCTCCAGGACCTCCACAAGGAGGTGGAGAAGCCTGCTGCGGCCGAGGGCCCGCCACTGCGCCCGGTGGCACGGCTAGCGCCCAGCGGTGAAGCGCGCCTGGAGGCCCCGGCAGCGGGCCCTGGGGCGGCGGCGAAGCCCGGGGACGGGCCCCTACGACCCCCGAGTCACGGTCGCGGTCGCCACCGCCCACTCCCGGGCCGCCGCCGCCCACGCCTACGCCCCCGCCGCGGCGCGGCGCCGGGGGCAGCGGCCCGGACGGCGGCGGCTCGTTGGCGGGGTCAGCGTCGGGAGGCGGCGGCTTCTTTTTGGGGAGAATAGTCATGGCGGCACCTCCGAATACCCCCCAGCAAACCAAGCGCGAAGCACGCCGGGAGAGAACCCGGATGAGGGGGCTACTGTCGGGCGCGAAGCACGACGGGAGTAGCTAGGCCCGGATAAAGAGCTGTGAAGGCACCGGTTCGAGAACTGTCGGTGGCGCGCGGGTCACGCCGGGAGGAAGCCCCGGATGTGAAGTCTAGCACGAAGGCGCCGCTAAGGGTTGAGTTGTCGCCTTGGCCCCCCGGCCACACTGTCGAAGTCTTCTGTCGAAGCCCAAGTTTCCTGCTCAAGTCCGTCCAGGCCTTCTGCTCCAAAGGCAACAGAACCAAAACAAGCACCTCCTGGCTCCGCCCCTTCCCAGGTTCTTCAACTACCGGGTGGGGCCCTGGGGCGCTGCGCCTGCGCGCCAGGGCACAGCCCTGCCTGTCGCTCGGAAGTACGTGGGCAAGCTCTCCGCCACCAGCCACAACAATTGAGGATGCCAGCCAATCTGAAGAGCTCTGTCAGTCCCCTACGGTGTCCCCCTGCCAATCAGAGCCCAGCGCTCGTCTTCCAGGGCTCTCGCCGTCTCTGGTTGCTAAGTGGGAAGCCTTGTTGCCTCAGCAGTTGTTTTTGACGGTTTTCGTCCACGTCCTCGAGCTTGACGTTCTTTCCTCGAGGCTCCACGTCGGTAGCTTGCACACCGAGAGAGAACCAGTAGCCGGCCTCGTGCCCGATCAGAGCACCGCGCCTCCAGGCTTCCCACTTGTCCCCGGGACTGGAAAACATCAACACTCCCAGATCCCAGCAGTCACCCGCCCCCCATCGTCAGTTCCGGTCCCACCCACCTACGAATCCCCAGCAGCCGGTGAGGCGGGACCCCGCTTCACCCTGGTAACAGGCTGAGTTATGCGACGACTGGCCAAGAGGCACCGTCGCTCAAGTCAAACGAGCCAACCTGGAGACAGACCTGCACCGAGTGGACAGCGGGTATTTGGGAAACAGGCACTCCCTGTCTGGCACCACTTCCCTGGCGTTGACCTCCCCGCCCCTATGGCCAGTGCACAAGCACGCTGCAGCCCTTTTCTAAAACTTTATTTGCTTGGGTCCAGTGAACCAGCTATCCCTCCAGCAAGGGTCTCGGTATGAACTTGGTAAAAATCCATGTTGTTGAACAGCTGGAGACCTCCCAGCGAATCCTAGCTCTGCCCTTCCTATGTGAGTGAGTTTTGGCAAGTCGTTGAACACCCACCCTACCAATTGCTAAAAGTTTGGCTCTAGTGCCCTGCGTGTTGGTGCACAGCAGAGATTCCCAGAGTTTAAGAGTGGGGAAGACCTCAACTCCAGGCACAGATGGACCTCCCAACTGTGTGACCTTGAGCCAATCATTGCCTGAGATTACTTATCTGTAAAGTGAAAATGATAACACCTGTGCAGACATCCTCGTGAAGCAGTTACAGGATTCGGATGTGCTCATAAACCAAGCAGGCATGTGAGAGGTGAGGGCTCAGCATTAGTCTTAGGAACCAAATCAGGCAACAAGTTGACTGAAAGCCAGTCATCAACCACCTTTTTCTGAGTGCCAACCAACGTTTTCCCTTCCAATGCTGCTCCTAGTAGAAACCCTTCCCCAAAAGGTATTAGTAATAGACAGGTGTCAGTGGTGTTGTTTGTTTATGAGATTTAATGGAAAGAGAAAGATTCATGTTTGCTGGCCCTGTTGCCTTTTGGACTGAGAGCCCAATGCCCATACACATGATCACGTTGCATCTTCTCATGATTGTGTCACTCCAGACCCAAATATTCCCACCCTCACTGGACATTCTATTCAGTTTACTATGCATCTAAAACTGAACCTGTGAAAATCATTCTGCCTCATACCCTGAATCCAGCACTTATTCTGTGCCTGGCAGTGTGAGCTAACTGCTTTGATGACAGTCCCTTGGACAGTGGACAGCACCCCATCCTCCACTGCCCAAGCCAGAAACCTGCGAGTCAATCATCTCTGCTCCATCTTCTTCAGCTCCTACATGTCTGCCAGTCCCCAGTCCTTCCACTGCTGTCACTACTCTGGTCCTGCCAACTGGACTGCCACAAAAGCCCCTTCACTACTCTTCCTCCAGGACTATTTCTGTAGTTCGCTCCCCTACAGCCAGAACTAGCAACTCAAACCTCATCAGAATAGTCTTATTTCTGAGAGATCCCTGTTCTCCTCCTTAGGATGAAGTCCTAGGTCCTTCTCCTAGCTTCCCAGGCGTACCTCTCCTCATAGCCTTATTCTCCTCCCTACTGGACTGAACTACTTTGACTTGCCCCCAGAACCAGGAAGCTTCCTCTCTAGCCTCCAAGTCAGTGCACATGCTGTTCCCTCTGACTTTATATAACATTTTCAACCTTTCATCTTTTGTCTGGCCAACCCCATCCCATTCCTTGTGTAGGGACTACGTTAGAGTCTCTTGCCAGCAATCTGCTTATATAACACACCCATCCTACTTTTACCATGCTGTATTGCTTCATTGTCTGCCTTCCATGTTCAGTTCTACACAGCTATCAATGTTTACTGCGCCCATCTTTGTATTTGTAACACCACAAATTGATTGGCAGTAAATGAATAATTGGCAAATTAATTCATCATTATCTCTATTTCACAGATTAGCAACATGAAACAAGATGAAGTTAAGTGGTTCCCTCACCCAGCGCCTGTCTGCTTGGCCCCCTACAAAGTTCAGTCCTACATTAGCCTTGTATAGGAGGTGGCCCAGAAGTGAGAAGGTGGGAGATGCTGCTAGGAAGGAGAAATCCGCCCAACTGGCAGATGCTTTTATTAGGACTAAATTCAGAAGGGTTTGCTGTCAGGAAGCCTGAGTTGAAGTCACCTCTAATGAACTATGAACTTTGTGTTGCTCCGAGCCTCAGTTTCCCCATCTGTGAATGAAAGAACTGGAACCAATGATCTATAAGGGGAGTAGCTCCAGACTCCCTAGCCTGCCTCTGTGCCTTGGGCTCTTCAAATCATCTTTTTTTTTTTTTTTCAACAGCCTCATTTTCCAACCATCCCCTTCATCCCTTTCCTTATACCAGCCCTTGTACTAGCAGAAAGGAGTTGAAGTCAGAGTGTTTTCAAACCCCTCCCCCGCACCAGTCCTGCCCCATCCCAGCCCGGTCAGCCCAGCCTGATATCCACAGAACCAGGAGATGTCCAGTCCCCATCCCTCCTCTTAGATTTTATTGACTGATGCAAACTACATCTTTGTCAGCTGCCAGCTCCGCAAGCACAGCGCTGGGCACAGGGAACCTGAGATGGTGCCCAATTTCAGCCTGAGAAGAGCGAGTTCTGAAAGGTGACCAAGAAAGGAGAGGAGAGGGGACTGTGAGAAGGAAGGAGTTATGGCAGGATGCGGGTAGGGGAAGATCAGGTGTTATTCCTGCTTCCCCAAACTCCCAATGTTCGAAAACAGTCTGGGCCTCAGCCCCTGCCAGGTCTGTGCTCCTGCCTGAGAACATGACCAATGATCTCCAAACACAGCCCAGCTCTGGCTGCTGCCAGACTCTTATCTCAGCCAGTCCAGACTCTGCTCTGGCCCAACCCAGGAAGGAGTTGAAGTGAGGAGGAGGGGCAGTTGGAAGTGGTCCTCTGATTAGGGCTGATGTCAATACTGTAGCAGACTGGTTAGAAGCTTTGCATAATGTCACTGCAGCAGCTGCAATTGCTAGTTTGTTGGGTGCGGGATGGGGGAAGACTGGCAGATGACAGGGTTGCAGGGGACCTGTTTCCAGCAGCCAGGGAAAGGGGAAGTGGTGTTTGTGCTATCTATGTATTTGGAGAGGCAGCCTGTCCCATCAGCCAAAGCCTGGGGGTGGTAGGGCACAGTTGAGGACACAGCCCAGGAAGCCGTAGATTGCATTCCAAGCTTCAGAATCTGGGAATTGTCAGACCTGGTGGAGAACAAGGACCTTTTCCAAGGCCAGATCAGAGGGAAGGGTTTTTTTGTTTTTTTGGTTTTTTTTTTTTCTGTATCTTTCCCCCTACCCGCAAGCCTCTATAGCCCAGGAAGAGAGAAGCGCACATCTCAGCTGTCAGATGGAAGCTCTACCATCCTCCAAGGACCAGAAGGGAAGAACATGCAGGAGGACAGCTGGTGGAGAAGGGCCAATCCCAGTGTGCCAGGGCCTGCAAAAGCCCAGTGTTTCAGCTCCCATGGGGCAAACTACCTACAAGGGGAAGAAGCTTCCCATCCCCTAGTACTACTTCTCCCCATCCAATTCCCCTCCCCATCAAGGTGAGTCATTCCATCAAAGTACATTGCATAGTTCTCAGCAGGGGGCAGAAGGGGATCTCAGGCCTGCCCCTGCCTGCCTCCCCAAAATATGGCTTTGGAAATGGGTCCCCAGTAACAAAGTGGTGCCCTGTAAGCGGAAAGGCCCACCCCTCACAGGGAAGAGATCTTGATGGGCTCAGGCAGGAGGCAAGGGGTCCCCAAACTGGAGTTCCTGAAGGTGCTGCTGGCCCTGCCCCCACCGCCAGGGGAAGAAAGTTGACTCTCATCGGGGCTGTTGGCAGGAGGCGTAGGGATACTGATAATGGCAGCCACGAAGTCCTGGCTGTCGCAGTTCAGGTCAAGGCTGTCGTGGGGCTTGGCATTGAGGCTTGAGCGGCTGTGGACAAAGGTAAGAAAGATGAAGAGGCTTTTACAAAGTCATCACATCAATGACTACAGGAATCATGACACCTGTTGAGCAGCTCCTGGGTCCCTAGCCCTGAGCAAAGGGCTTCCATTGCTTCCTCAATCACAGTGGTGGAAAAGAATGAGGGCTCTGGAGTCAGACAGCCCTGGGTTTATATCCTGGTTCCTCTTTCATTTTTTTTTTAAGATTTTTTTTAATTGGAAAGGCAGGTTTACAGAGAGAAGGAGCTACACAGAGAAAAATCTTCCATCTGCTGGTTCACTTCCCCAAGTGGCCACAACAGCTGGAGCTGAGCCAACCCAAAGCTAGGAGCCAAGAGCTTTCCTCCAGGCCTCTTAGGTACAGGGTCCCAAGGCTTTGGGCCATCCTTCACTGCCTTACCAGGCCACAAGCAAGGAGCTGGATGGGAAATGGGGTAGCCGGGACACAAATTAGTGCCCATATGGAATCCCGGGGCATGCAAGGCAAGTACTTAGCCACTGAGCCAACCTGCTGGGCCCTCTCTCACTTTCTTCCCCATGGTCTATAGGATAAGAAACAGTATTTCCACTACACCCACCCCCTACATAGACTGGGGATTAAAACAGATAGGAGGGCCCAGCGGTGTGGCCTAGCGGCTAAAGTTCTCGCCTTGCACGCCCAGGATCCCACACGGGCGCCAGTTCTAATCCCGGCGGCCCCACTTCCCATCCAGCTCCCTGCTTGTGGCCTGGGAAAGCAGTAGAGGACAGCCCAAGGCTTTGGGACCCTGCACCCATGTGGGAGAACTGGAAGAGGCTCCTGGTTCCCAGCTTCAGATTGGCATAGCATCGGCCGTTGCACTCACTTGGGGAGTGAATCATCGGATGGAAGATCTTCCTCTCTGTATATCTGACTTTGTAATAAAAATGAATAAATCTTTAAAAAAAAAAACAGATAGGAAATTATCAGAACTGCTTAGGAAGTGCTGAGAACAACATTGTTACTTCTTGCAGTTACTCCCAGCACAACCAGAGTCCTCAGCCATTTTGTATTCCCCCTCCTTCCACCCCCACAAGTAGTTCCCTTGCTGTGTCTAACACACATCTGCCTCAAGGCCTCTGCATGGGCGTTCACTCCCAGAAAGCTCGTCTTTCTGTTATCTGCATGGCTCACCCTGTGTTCTTCAGGTCTCCACTCAGCAGTGAACTTCCTGAGCACAGGAAGCCTTCCCTGGCACATTGTGAGGACCACATCACTCTTGCTCACTCTCGGTCCCCATGCCTGACTTATCTCTCTCCTCAGTGCTCACAAATGTTTACCACCCTACGTGATCTGGATGTGCACTTGTTTATGAACCATTTCAGATCATTAGGTTGTAGGTTCTAGGATAGGGCTATCTGTTCTGTGTAGTACTACATCCCCCAAGTGCCTGGCATATAGTAGGTGTTCAATAAATCCTTGGTGAAAGAGCAAATGAAAACTGAGAACTTTATTCAAGACAGAGCCCAAGCTCCCAACATGGAGGAGTCGAGGGTGGAGCTTAAACTGGCTAGGTCTAGAATCCTCACATTTCAGAGTCGCTGGTCCAGGTTCCAGGCAGCCCCAGGCATGGCCAGCAGAGGGAACAAGTGCTTACCTCTGAGGACCAGGGCTTCTCCGCAGCCCGGCCAGTGTATCAAGCTCCTGCATGCTGCCCCGACTGACCGAGGCAGTGGAATTGGCCAGGCGGATGGCCCGCCGCTTAGCACGGCGGGGGCAACAGGAAGACAGCAGGCTGCTGGGCCCCACTGGCTGGGAGGATACCGAGGTGCTGCGGCTGGTACGGCCCCCAAGCGAGACAGCTCCCAGGGCCTCACTGAAGGTTAGCTCATCTGTGAATTCATGGCACTGTGGGCACAAAGGAGTCAGGCATCCTCCAGCAGCTGATTCTACCCCATATTTGTGCAGGCTTTCCCCTCCTTTCTAGAAATCATTTCTTTCCTTCCCTATTGTCCATGCACCAAGGCTCAGCTCTGCCATGACAGCCTCTTCCAGGAAGGTTTCCACAATGATTAAGCCTCCCTTCCAGGGAAGAAGCTGACTTGGAGCCCCTACAGCCTGCCATGCCACCCCTCAGCAGGCCTCACCGTCGTCTTCTCTAGGCAATGCAGCAAATGATGATGTTGCTGCTCAAAAGCAGAACGATTCCGGACGCACAGCGCCTGCTCCTCCCCACTGCCGTTGTCCTGAAGTGCACAGAGAGAGGTAGGTCAGTGCCTTCCTCCCCAGCTTACTGCTTACCCCAGTCTCAGTCTGGGCTCTACCCACCTCAAGGCCCCCATTCTGTTTATACTGCAGGAAGGCATTGGTGGTACCACTCTTTGCCAACCGGATCCTTGCCAAGCGCACCTTCTATGGGGAGAGGAGACAAAAGGATAGGTGGGTAAGGCCCAAGAGTAGACCAACTTAGGGTGTGGGGAAATGGAGAGGGGCAGTTACCTGCTGTGCTCGGCGTTTGTCAGCACGCTGGTTCTGGTGGTAGATGCGGCTGAAGTTGGACACAATGACTGGCACAGGCAGGGCAATGACCAAGACACCACTCAGTGAGCAGATGGACCCAAAAATCTTGCCAGCGATAGTGCTGGGCACCATGTCTCCATAGCTAGGGTAGGGTCAGGGTAGATAGGCCAAGGTAAGGAACAATATCTGCCTGCCCCTCAGTACCCAATTCCATCTCACCCAACACTGACTGTCCAGGCCCCCAAACTGTATGAGCCCAAGTTCTTGCTCTGCAAAAATGTAACAAAGGGGCCTCCTTGGCCACCAGATTGGAGGGTTGAAAGAGTCAAATGAGAAGTAGGCCTGGCCCTCTGCCCCTGCCATCTGCTGCCACCATCCAAGCTGTACATTGGGCATCCCAAAACAGCCAGAAATCTATTCACACCCAGCAGAGGGCAGAGTAAGGAAGCCAGCAGTAGTACAAAGAGCCTCCAGGGGCTGGAGTCCCACAAAGCAGCTGAGGGGCTCAGCCTCCCAGAAGGATTGTCCTGCTTACTATGTCTGCCTGGCTCTCTCTTTCTGTCTTACCTTCTGGAGGCAGGAGGCAGGACCCCTACTGATTGCCCTAAGGGAAGCCTTAGAACATTAAAAAAAAAAATCACTTTCTCCATGCTGCCCCTCCTTCCACGGAAATAGAGTAGAGCAAACAGGAGTAACTTGTTTCACAAAACGGGAAATGGAAACTCTGGGAGGGCAGGGTCCAGAACTGACTCATCCAAGACCACCCAGCAGCAAGCTGAACTCTGTCATGGAAACACAGCCTCTGCAGTGTCAGTTTCTAGACCTCTGATCAGGCTGACCCTCCGGTGATGCTGCCTCCTTCCAGTATTGTGAGTCATTTTAAGCCTTCAGACTCTGATAACAAGTCTCTCCCTTCCACCTCCCCTCCACACTAAACTAGGCCATCTTGGGCTTTCTGATACATTGCCCCAAACCATGTATTCAACTGTGAAACATGAGCAGGCAGCCAGTAACCCTCACAGGGTTGTCATAAGGAGTAGGGTAAGAAGGCATCCAAAACACCCAGTGCCAACCCACTGTCAGGGCTCATCCTGAACCTCCAACCAGAATCTCTACTCCTTTGAAACCCCAAATCAGTGTTTCTGTACGAGCAAGGGCCAATTCATAGAGTCGGTGATTCAACAGATATTGCTAGTGATGAAAATTGAGAGAAGAATCATAATAGCTGCCCTAGAGGCAAGGTCTTAAAGAATGTCATAGATTTGATTATTCCATTTAATATTTTTATCCCAATCTCAGGAGTTGGCAATTACCATCTCATTGTGGAAAGCACCAAGGAATCATAAAGCCACAGAAGCAATGCCCATAAAACAAGCAATTCTAGAGATTGGGAGACATGGTTTTTGGGACCGAAAAAGAAATGAGAGAAAAAAAAAAGTGTAACAGGGTCCAGCGGCATGGCCTAGTGGCTAAAATCCTTGCCCTGAACACACTGGGATCCCATATGGACACCAGTTCTAATCCCGACAGCTCCACTTCCCGTCTAGCTCCCTGCTTGTGGTCTGGGAAAGCAGTCGAGGACAGCCCAAAGCCTTTGGGCCCTGCACCCACGTGGGAGACCTGGAGGAGGTTCTTGGCTCCTGGCTTTGGATCAGTGCAGCTCCAGCCATTGCGCTCACTTGGGGAGTGAATCATTGGACGGAAGATCTTCCTCTCTGTCTCTCCTCCTCTCTGTATATCTGCCTTTCCAATCAAAAAAATCTTTTTTAAAAAAAAAAATAGTGTAACTTTGTATCTTGCACCAGTTCAGAAAACTTCTCATCACATGATGTTATTATCTTATCTGTCACATCTGTCATGCTATATACATGATACAGGGAGTCATCATTTCCCATTGAGCAAAGGGGGACACTGAGGCTCTGAAATGACAAAACATCAGGGGCCAACACGATGGCACAGTTGCCTAATCCTCCACCTTTAAACATCAGCATCCTGTACAGGCACGGTTCATGTTTAAGCTGTTCCACTTTTTTTTTTTTTAAGATTTATTTATTTTTATTGGAAAGGCAGATATACAGAGAGGAGGAGAGACAGAGAGGAAGATCCTCTGTCTGATGGTTCACTCCCCAAGTGGCTGCAACAGCTGGAGCTGAACCAATCCGAAGCCAGGAGCCAGGAGCTCCTCTAGGTCTCCCACACAGGTGCAGGATCCCAAGGCTTTGGGCCGTCCTCAACTGCTTTCTCAGGCCACAAGCAGGGAGCTGGATGGGAAGTGGGGCCACCGGATTAGAACCAGCGCCCATATGGGATCCCAGCGCTTGCAAGGCGAGGACTTTAACCACTAAACTATCGCGCCAGGCCCGAAGCTGCTCCACTTTTTAATCCAGCTCCCTGCTTCTGGCCTGGAAAAGCAGACAAGGATGACCCAGGTTTTTGGGCCCCTGCACCCACATGGAAGGCCTGGAGAAGGTTTCTGGCTCCTAGCTTCAGACTGGCTCAGCTCTGGCTATTCTTGCCATTCAAGGAGTGAGCCAGAAGATGGAAAATCTTTCTATCTCTCCTCTCTGTAAATCTGGTGTTTCAATGAGAACAAATAAATCATCCAAAAAAAAGGAAGGAAGGAAAAGAAAGAAAGAGAGAAAGAGAGAAAAAGAAAGAAAGAAAGAAAGAAAGAACCAACAGAAAGAAAGAAAGAATCAACAGAAAGAGAAGACAACCCTTTGGCCCAAGTCTCCCGACCTTGGAAATCCAGATATTGTCAGAGCTGAGAGGGGTCTCGGGACTTCTGTCCAACTCCCTCAGTTTGGAACAGATGAACAAACGGTGGCATTCAAAGGGGAGAAGCAGTTCTCTCATTCTGCCAACCTTCCTAGTCTCACAGTAGGAGTGAGTGTGATCCATGGGCAGCGCCCAACACAGGGTCTTGCACTCACCCAAGTGTGGTCATGGTGACAATAGTATACCAGAAGGCCGCAGGGATGCTTGTAAAGTTGGTCTTGCTTGTCCCCTTCTCAGCGTAGAACATGACGGTGGCAAAGATGATGATGGCCATGGTAAGGGAAAAGAGGAGGAAGCCCAGCTCAGAGGCACAGCTCTTGAGGGTGTAGCCCAGAATCCGCAAGCCCTGGGAATGCCTGGAGAACTTGAAGATGCGGAACACCCGAAACACGCGTAGAGTGACAAAGGCGCCCGACACATCCTCATTCTTGGGCACTAAGAGCCCAATGTAGTAGGGTAGGATGGCCACTACATCGATGAGGCTCATGACACTCCTCAGGAAGCGGCAGCGGCTGGGTGCTGCAAACAGCCGCAAGAGGTATTCTCCAGTAAAGATGAGCACGCAAGCCGTGTCCATACAGAAAAAGGCCAGCGGGAAGCGCTCGCCGCATGGCTGCTCCCTTGGGGTCCGCCGTGCGGGACCCCTGCACGGGATGGTCTCCACCACATTGGCAATGACTGACACTGCGATGAAAAAGCCCGTCACGTAGTAGAAAACGAGGGCTGCGGTGCTTGTATGCGGGTTCTCGAAGGCCCGCCAGAGCCGCTGCCTCACCGAGCTGCCAGCTGGTAGCGCTGGGCCATCCCCGGTCTGTTCAGCCTCCTCATCCTCCGCCAGGCGCTCAGCATTCTCCTTCTTGCGGTCCCGGTACTCTTCAAGGCAGCAGTCGCCAACGAGCTCAGGGACCAGGCCATAGAAGGCTAGTTCTTCGTCGAAGGCCTGGATGCACTCCTGGCGGGGGCAATGCAGCCGACCAGTGCGGTAGAAGTTGAGCACGTGCCGGAACATGTCTGGGTCCCGATCAAAGAAGTACTCGCCCGAGTCAGCATCGTAGAAGAACTCCTTCTCCGAGCTGCCCAACAAAGTGTCCGGGTAGCGGTCCAGTGTGTTCTTCCAGGTCTCAAAGCGCCTGCCACTCACGTTCACCACCAGAACTTCATCTCCTCGAGAGGTTTTCACTCCGGGTGCCGGAGGTAGTGGTTGCTGAGCCAGGGGAAGCCAGCCCACCGCGGCAGCCCGGGCAAAAGGTAGCCATGTGGCCACACCTGCCGCCATCCTGCTGCTCCCCAGGCCCGCAGAGACTTGAAGGGGGATTTAAGAGAATGTGGCTGTCTCCAGGATATTGGGGAGGGTGGGTCTGGTGAGATCCTGGACCACCAAGATAGGGACAGTATAGAAGGACCAGCAGATCCAGGAAGAGTTGTCACCTTCTCAGGAAGTTATTGGGAAAAGAACAAGAGCCTGAAACCCCTTTGCAGGGCTGCATTGGACACTGAGGCATCCAGAGGGATGGGACTAGGACCACAAAAGCTGGAAGGAGGCTGAGTCTGGAAAGGGCAGAGGGCTTCTAGAAGGACCAACACAAACAACAAGAGTTGTCCACACCCTTAAGGTTTCTGGAGGCGAGGTGAACGGCTTGGAGCCCCCCTTAGAGACATGGGAAGGGAGCTAGTGCCTGGCGAGGGGGGTGGCTATAGAACCAGGAGATAGCAAAGAGGCTAAAAGCTGTCTCAAGAGTACCTAGAGCTGCCAAGAATAGCCTGGTATGTGTGCGTGCGTGTGTGTGTGTGTGTGTGTGTGTGTGTGTGTGTGCGCGCGTGCGCACACGGGCCACAAGCGGGCGTGTGTGCTCACACAGTGTGCTCACATGCGTGCATGTGTGGAGGCAGGGGTCGTGCTGATAAAAGTAGGTGTGGCAGCCACTTCCCCCAGTGGGGAGTGGGGGAGCCACAAGGGTGCTATGGGGGCTAGGTTACATTTTGTGAGGTTGTGAGAGGTACCTAGGGAAGGTCTGGGAGAGGCTGAAAAAGCCCCTCCCACACCCCCAGAAGTCCTGGAGACAGGAAAAGGAGGAGCTGGGGAATCCCAAGGGACTGGGATTCAATTGGACAGAAGTTGGGCACAGGCCCAGAGGACCAGGGTGGGGGTGAATGGGAATCTCAAACAACTAAGAGGAAGGGGGGGTTCCCTCCCATAATGGGCTGGGGGAGGGGAGGGAGTTGGATGTATCTTCAAGGATGGGGACTTGCCGGACCTTGGAAGGAGGCTGCGGGGTGGGGAGGGGGGACAGCCAGGAAAAGGCTGGGTCCCACTGTTGGGGGCAGGTCCGAGGAAACCACACCCCGAGGGGCTGGCAGTGCGTGCTGGGCAGCAGCAGTACCAACAGCAGGAGCAGGAGGATGAGAAGGAAGAGGAGGAGAAAGAGGAAGAGGAGAAGCAGCTACAGCCAGGTCTAGGAGAAAAGGCAGCACAGGCAGAGGGAGGGGGCTGGGGTCCCTGGAAGGATAAGATCCAGTGGGAACCCGGTGGGGACCATCCCAAAACAGGCTAGGGCATGGGGCTGCCCCAGGAAAGGACAAGGACAGTGCAGCCGGGGGACCCCTCCCCCTTCCCACGGGGCTGTCCTCACCTGTCTCCACTGCCGCTGCAGCAGCAACAGCGGTGGGGCTGGGGGGACCAAGCGCTGGAGCTCCCGGCCCCCCTCTGCAGAGCTATGTCGGAGTTCTCCTCCTCTGGCTCTCTCTCTCTCCCCGCCCCTCCGAGCTTGCAGGGAGATGAAGAGAGAGAGAGGCAGGGAGGGGCCTCGTGGCTCCCAGAGCCCCCTCCCCTAGGACAGCTGGAGAGAGACCCTAGGGAGACTCCGCCTCCTCTAAAGCTGGTTGGGCCTCAGTCGCGTCATCTGGAGAATGGGGGTGGCAGGGAACTTTGCCAGTTCTCCCCACCTCCTTCCTGGACTCCCCCCACCTTCCTGCCCAGCTCCTACCCCTCTCTGCCCCCAGGGGCCGCCACCCCCCCCCCACTGGCCTGAATCAGCAGCACTTAGCAGATCAGATCGATGGGGAGGCGGCTGTTAATGGCCCCATAGCGGAGTGCCACAGGGAATGATGCAGCGCTGTGTCCCCTCCCTACCCCCCCAGGCTATGGAAGGGCAGAAGAAGCAGACCTAGGGGGTGTGTGGGGGGGTAATCATTAAGAAGAGTTTTCTGTATGGCCAGGCCCTGAAAACCACCCCCTGGCCACCCCCTACCCCCACCCCCGCGGCAACTCCAACTCCCTGGCATAGATTAGAGCCCCAGCTGTAACAGCGATTTATATTTTGGCACCGGAGCTTGCATCTTCCTCTGGCTCTAGATGTAAAATGAGCAGTAAAGTACAGATGGGGACAGTGCAGGTCCTGCGTCCACACCAAGTTGTCTCCCAGACTTGCCCCATTCTGAAAGGGCAGGCTCCCCTATTTGTTCCCACCTAGTGGTCTCAAATCACTTCTCCCCTAGAGTGGTCTGTTTCTGGGTGACAGGAACAGTACAGGGAGCACCTGAAGCAGGCATGGGTGGGTTCAAATTCCAGGTTTGCCATACTCACCATAAGCTTAAGTGACTTGTATTGCCTCAACTATCCCAATCTTGAGAGTGTCACATCACACAAAGTGATGTGAAAGGGATGACACAGAAGATGCCTAATCTCAACTTATGAAAGGTGGGTAGTGCTGAAGGAGCAGTAATGGAGGGCCATGGTTAGACTATCAATTCACACACCCATCTAATCCTCCATTTGCTTCCTTCCCACAATCTTGGCTCCTCCATTTCTTCATCCCTCCACCCACCCATTCTCTAATCAATTACCCTACTCATCCCTCCACCTACCCATCCTTTTAGTGATTAATCCACCCACCAACTCATCCATTTGTATGCTCTCCTTTTCCACTTATCCATCCACCATCTATCAATATCCTTCTTTCATTGATCTATCAATCCATCCATCTTTTGTGCAGCCACTTTTTAATTTCCAATTCACAAGCTCAGCCATGCATACATCCCCTTATTCATCTGTCCATCTACTCATTAGCTATCCAGCTACCTAGCTAACTCACTCACCCATTTGTCCATGTTTCCATCTACTTGTCTTCCACCTATGCACCTGCTGATCCACTGGCCCATTTATTCATTCATCCATTTAGTTCCCCATCTATCTGTCATTGATCCATGCAACCTTCTATTTATCTATCCTCCTACCTGACTACTCTTCTTCACCCACAACCCCATATGTTATCTACCCATGTACACATCTGCAGCTGCTTCTCCTCTGCTTAATTCAAGAAAGAGACTGGTAAAGACACATAAGCTGGCTGAGGGTGGGGAAAGGATAATAAAGTTGCAGTCAGAGACTGCCCTCCCCATCCCAATGATTTGATTGCCCCCGCCCCATCCCCACCCCCAGCACACCCCTCTTGCTTGAAAAGAACGAGATCAGACAGTCAGTGGGTGGGCCCGTCTGGCCAGATGGTATTTTGGCTGAACAGCCTTTACAAACACATACACACACGGGTTGCTAGATTGCTGAACATGGACCACGCCCCCACCCAACATCCCCGATCCCAAATGCAGAGTAGCCAGGCTTCCAGACATAAATTAAAAAATAAAATAAAAAATTAAAAAATGACAGTTGGTCTCTGGAAGGGAGAGCTCATGCAGAGATGAAGGCAGAAGCACCCGGAAGCCAGGGCTAAGGAGGAAAAATCCCTGCCCTTCCCTCAGGAACCCCACTTCTCCCTGGGCCACTTCCCCAAGAAAGGGTCATTTCTACCAGCCATCAGGGCTCTAAGCCTCTTTAATGTCCAGTATTCCAAACTATTCAATTTTGTTGCCAGGCCCCGTTTTTCCCACCACAGCTCAAGAGAACAGCATCCTGGAAGGGCAGGGGCAGTGGGGATGGGGAGGCAAGTAGAAGGGGAGAGGATGCAGCCTGCAGGTCTTTAGCTGGTTTCTCCGGGCTCTAAGTCTGGGTCAGGGGAGCCCACACACTCTTTGCTGAGCCGCACAATTTCCTGGGACAGAACTTCCATATCCTGAGAAACAAATGAGCCATTATAGGTGAGAAAAGAAGGTAGGGACAGTTTTCTTGCCAATCCTGAGGGTGATTTCTTCCCCACCCCATTCATCAGTGTTCTGGCCTGGAATGGGAAGGCAGTTGGAGATGTCTGAAGAGCCCCTAGCAGTGTAGGGGGTACTGAGCTAGGCAATTGTGGGCATGGTTGGGGAACCCCTACAGCTATGGAAACGGAGTGTGCAAGTTCCTGTGGTAGGCAATTTCCACCCTCGTTACCTTCTCTTTTACTAATGTGAGCTTGCTTTTCCCAGCCAGAAGCTGTGTCTGATTCCCTCAGAGATGGAAGACTAATTGGGTCATAGGATGGGGAAATGTGTATGAGTGGGTGCAGGGGGATCTAGGGAAGGCAAATGGATGGACAATGAATTGTCCATAGAACAACAGGTGAACAGGCAGGCAGGCTTTTGGGTGAGTTGAGGGAGAGGGCATGTAAAAGGTAAAGCCAGGGGTGACTGGTGTAATAGATATCAAGAAAATGGATGGGGAAGATGACTCAAAGGATGTTCCTTCCACAGGGTGGGTATCTGGACACACGAGTAAACAATTGAGTGAATGGTCTATGAATGGGTGACTGGAAAGATGGAAGAAGAGAGGGAGGATTGACAGGCTAAACATAATAAGTTGATGGGAGAATGGAACATGAAAGTATGAATGGGTGAGGGGATGGCTGAGAAAATGGAGGTTATGTAGGCAGATGAGAGGGGGGACTGGCAGAGGACTCGGGGGCTGTGTGGCTAGATGGGCAGAGGGGTAGGCTGCTGGGTTGTACTCACTTTGTGCAAGTGCATATTCTTAGTGAGCTGCTCCTCCAGCATGTTCTGCAGCTTCTTGTTCATCTCCCGCAGGTTCTCGTCTCCTGGCTTCACCAGATCTCGCAGAACACTGCCCAGCCCACTGCGGTCTGTGTGGCCTGCTGCCATGGACACATCTGCAAGGGCTTGGGATGAAAAGCAGCCCCTCGGCAGAGCCCAAGGAGCAACAGAGGAAACAACAGGTGGGGCATGATCTGTGTTCCAGAGGGGCAGGGGCTCTGTCAGGGAAACCCAGCTTAGTCACTTCCCAGCAGAGCTAGGGAAACACTTCTGTGACTGTGTGGGAGGCAGAGAGTTTGCAACAAACCTGCCGCATGCACACGTGTGAGCTGGGGTTAGTGTAATTAGCAAGGGAAAATCAGGAGAGAGAGCTGGCTGGAAAGACGGGAGTGAGCCAGAGCAAGGTGCAGAGGGGAGAGAATGAGAGGAAGAAGTGGGGAGATGGGAGGGAGAAACAAGAGGAGGAGAGGCAAGAGGAAAAAGAGGAAGGAGAGAAAAAGATAAGGACTTAGGGCTACAGATAGAATAAAGATGTATCGAAATAGGACAATACAGGTAGAAAAGTAAAAGGTAGGTGCAGATAAGAAGAGAGAGGGAAGAGGAAAGTGAGCAAAAGAGAGCAAGAGTATTGAGCCACAGGAGGTGAAAGGGAAGGGCAGAGACACACCAGCAAATGGAGACTGGAAAGATGACAGGGGCATGGAGCAGAAGGAGGAGGTGAGGTACAGTACTTCATGCTCTACATGCTGCAAGTTGAGTTATGGTCTCATCAGGAGCTCTGCTGAATTCCACACAGAGAAAAGCCACCATACTGGTCCAAGGAGGTAGAGGGGCAGGTGAAGGCTGGTGCAGGACTGAGGGAATGCAGGGAGCACTGACCGATGCGGCTGTCCATGACGTAGGTCTCGATGATGGCGCTCTTCCGGCAGAGGTCTTCAGCCATGGAGGCACTGCTCACCTCCAGGTGCTTCACCTGCAAGATGGCCCAGCCCACCTGAAACCCCTCCCCTCAACTGCACCTGTTCCCCCCCACCCCTTGGGAGGAGGGACCCAGCTGGATTCCCAGCTCTAGTCTCTCCCAGGACACTTCCAAGTGGGGCCATAGACAGGCAGGCAGACAGCACCTTCTCTTCCAGCATCCATTTCTCCTGCTGGGTCTCTGCCAGGCGCTGAAAAAGCTCAGCAACTTCCTCATCTGACAACTCTGCTGGCCGAGGGGGCTGGGCCTGCGGGCTGCTGGACAGGGACTGCAGGAAAAAAGAAGGGGAGAGAAGCCACAGGCTCAGCATCACCTGCTCCAAATGGGAGGGAAACCAGCTTAAAATGGATGGGAGGCCATGCACCCTGCCGTGGCACCCTTGGTGATGCTGAGTCCCCTCTGGCCTAAAGCTGCATTGATAGTGGTTGAGAGGGTAAAGGATTATCCAGCAGCTTTGAAATCAGATGTCCAGCTGACAGGGGAGAGAAAAACTAGCTAAACAACAGCACCTAGAATTCAAGAGGTGGGTCTGGTACAGTAGTTCAGTGGCTACATTCTCGCCTTGCAACTGCCAGGATCCCATATGGATGCTGGTTCATGTCCCAGCTGCTCCACTTTCCCATCCAGCTGCCTGTCTGTGGTCTGGGAAAGCAGTGGAAGATGACCCAAAGCCTTGGGACCCTGCACCCATGTGGGACATCCAGAAGAAACTCCTGGCTCCTGGCTTCGGATTGACTCAGCTCCAGCAATTGTGGTCACTTGTAGAGTGAACCAGCAGATGGAAGATCTTCCTGTTTCTACATCTGACTTTCCAAGAAAAAATAAATCTTAAAAACAAAAAAGTCAAGAGGTGAACATTTTTAACAGGTTAGCACAAGAAAGAGGGACTGAACTCAATTAGACTTGAGGGATACAGAACAACCAAACACAACATGTGCTCTGAAGTTGAGGACTAGTGTCCATTAAGAATGACAGTCAAGGACATTTTGTGGGTCAAACAAGAACAACCTGGTTAAGTTCAAAGTACTAGATGAGATGAAGATTTACCAAATTGGAGGAAAGGTAGAGAGATCAGCTAAACACCAACAAAATACTCCTTATCTAATTTAGCTTTTTAAAAATTATTTATTTGAAAGAGTTACAGACAGAAAGAGGAATAGAGAGAGAGATCTTCCATCTGTTGGTTTACTCCTCAGATTCCTACAATGGTCAGAGTTAGGCCAGGCAAAAGCCAGGAGCCAGGAGCTTTCTCCTGATCTCTCCCTTGGGTGGTGGGGGCCCAAACACATGAGCCTGGCTTGGGCATTCCAAGTGGACTTGGGCATTCCAAGTGGACTTCTGGGTGCCTGGCTTCAACCTTGGTCCAGCTCTGGTTGTTGTAGGTATTTGGGGGAGTGAACCAGCAGATGGAAGGTGTGTGTGTGTGACAGAAAGATTGAGAGAGAGGGGAAAAAAAAACTCTGCTTTTTAAGTAGAAGAAAAATTAAATAAACCTTTAAAAAGAGAAAAATATTGCTTGTGAGAAAAGTGGCTGGCAAAGAAGCTGGCGTGACAGATGGCAATAATATGGAGCGATAATTCTAAGTTGGAAAAGGGGATTTTGTACATGGATGGTATACCTACTATGAGCAACATATTCTACAATAGCAGGAAAAGTGCAACTAGCTCACAGATGGTGAAATGGAGGGCCAGAGGGAGCGGCTGACTAGCTCACCCCGCCCCACCCCCCCCATGTGACAACCTGAATCCAAGTTGGCAAGCTTGGAGAAAAGCTAGTAAGAAGATATTTGTCCTGGACTCGGAGTAGGAGATGGCAGTTGGGTGAGGTGGCAAGGGAGGGGAAATTTCCTATAATTTGGGTGGGAGAAGCTGGGGTGATAGGCTCTTCCTTATTTGTCCCTTACCCTGGCTGGAGCAGCTGAGCTTTCCTTCTCCTTCAAGATCTCCCGGTAGCTGAAGGAAGAGATGCTACTGCTGTCTCCAGTCTGGGTCCGGCTCGGTGAGTTCATCTCAGAGAGAACCAGCTCCTCCAGGCCTGGGTAGTGGAGGGGAGAGACACCTGAGCCCTCACACTCCCTGCCCCCACCCAGGTCTGAGAGTAACAAGCAGCCAGAGAGCCAGAGCAGATGAGAGTGCAAGTGAGCAGAGAGCCTAGGCAAGCACATGAACAGAGAGAGAAAGATGGTGGGCAACTCCCTTGGCTAGGCAGGTCAATCTTCATCTCCTCTAATGGACATGGAGAGTGTGCAGCAGGCTCCTCTAATGGCTTCTGCGATGCTGACACGGATCCCCCATCAAACAGAAGCAGGGCTCTCACTTTAGAAAGAAAGGGTTACTTCAGGTGACTGAGTGCCTCACATGGAGATTGATTTCACAGGAGATCCAACTGTTTTGCCACATCACTCTAAACCTAGGTACTGAGCTTGTGCTACTGCTCTTGTGGCTGCCTTGGGGTGCCAGGGAGGGGCTTACCACCACACTCTGAGGATTTCCTAGGAAGGACGGGGGGGGTGGCACCTGATTGGTAGCCTGAGTTGGGGAATGTGGAAACAAGGGATACCCAGTCCCATCACTGTACCTGCTTTATTTGAATGGACTCCGAGGCCACGCCCCATGAAAAGCTAAAGGCACAGCAACTCAAGGTCCATATCTGTTCCCTGCTACCTGCAGCTGTGCTAGGGTCTCCCTAGCTCAACTGGAGGTTCCAAGGGCAGCCACTGAGGAAGCATCACATCCAGGACTCTGGGCTTGAGGATGGGGATGTATGAAGGGAGAGAATGGATGCAATGAATGGAGAGACATGAATTGAGGTTGGGGAGAGTAAAGTGGGGAGATGGACAGACATAGAAAACAGGAGAGGAGAGAGGCAAGGAGATAAGGGGAGGTGCACCTGGTGCAATGGCCCAACAGACTAATCCTCTGCATTACATTGCCAGCATCCCATACGGACAATGGTTTGTGTCCTGGCTGCTCCACTTTCCATTCAGCTTCCTGATTATGACCTAGGAAAGCAGTGGAGGATGGCTCAAGTCCTGGGGACTCTGAACCCATGTGGGATACCCAGAAGAAGCTTCTGGCTCCTGACTTTGGATTGGCTCAGCTCCAGCTATTGTAGTCACTTGGGGAGTGAACCAACAGATGGAAGATCTCTCTGTCTTTCTTTCCCTGTAAATCTACCTTTCTAATAAAAATAACCAAAAATAAATAAATAAATAAAAGAAAGAAAGACAGAAAGAGAAGGGGAGGGAAACAGAAAAGAAACAGGAAGAGGAGAAAAGGAGCGAGAACAAGCAAGCAAGCGATCCAGGCAGATTTGGAGGAGAGCTAGACAGCCCGACAGAAGTTGAGGGTGAGGGAAACGCAAGACAGCCGTAAGGAGACAGAGATGCAGAAAGAAAAAATGGAGACACAGAGCTCCCCAAAAGGTGAGAGGTTCCCAGTCTGTGGGGCTCCCTCACCTGAGCGGCTCTTGCTGTTGGTGAGGATGTCCTGCAGTCGTTCCTGCAGCTTGTCGGCCCGCTTCCGCTCCAGGTGCAGCTGCCTCTTCAGATCCTTGAGCTGTGTTGGGCAAGGATGGAAAGGAGGGTGAGGAGGGAAGACTGATGCTAGTTGGCCAACAAGCAGGGAGATGCTGCAGGCCATGGGGTGCTGCACTGGGATGCCTCATCTTACTGCGGCACTGCCTTTCTTCTCCAGGATCCGTTGCCCGTCCACCGTGTCCTTCACTTCCTATGGGGAGCAGATAGAGCAGGGCTGGTGGGTACCAAAGGGAGGCACGCCCTGCTCTGTGTAACTGTTGAAAGCCTGGAAACAGCGGGGCAGCAGGCCTTGGCCATGGAAGGCCCATTGACCTGCTTTAGGCTGCTGATGGTCTTCAGGTGGTCATCCCGCTCCTCCTGGGCCTGCCGGAGCTGATCCCGCACACCCTGCAGCTCCTCCTCTTTGTCCTACAAAGCAGATAGTCACTCAATCTCAGCTTGGAAAGCACCACCACCCCATCCTCCCATGAGGGTCCACCCAGAGAAGATGAGGATCACACGGCAGCCACCTTCAGCTCAGCAGCATGCTGCTCCTGACACTGCTGCAAAGCTTCCTCTTGTTCCTGCTGCTGCTGCTGCAGTGACTCCTGCAACACAAGTCCCCCAGCTGGCTGCAGTCCCCAACCTCCCTGCCCCCCGGACAAGCATGTGCCCATGCAGGGCTGAGGAACTGCACCAAGAACCCTAGGGGTGCCCAGAAAAGACCCTTCCGCAGGGAATGCCACAGACCCTTGGGCTGTACCATTCACATTCTAGATCTAGCTATGTTTCTATATTTGCTTTTCTTGAATAAAAACACAACACAGCATGCACTTACTAACATGCTAGGAATGTTGGAAGGATTTTACAAATATGAGCTCATTCTTGATAATCCTCCCCCAATACCTTGACAGCAGGTATTATTATTTATTCCCTTTCTTATCAAAATGGAAATGAGCCAGGGAGGTTAGATCACCAGCTGAAGAGGCATACAGCTAGAAGGGACCACAGCCAGGATTCAAACCCGGGACAAACAACTGACTCCAATCTGTACTTTTCACTGCTGCATAATGCTGCCTCTTAGGTTCTATGCTGAGATTCATCCACACTGGCAATGAAGCTACCTATTCAGATAAAAATCTGTGTAGGTAGTACAATAATTTCCCAAGAAAAGTAACTACTTTCAGGAGGAAGAGGTAGCTTTGCAAGTCCACACAAAGGCCCTGCACACCTGACCTGAAGCCCTGCCAACATGTTGGCAATTTCTCGTCCACTCCAGAATGCTGCCAGGGAGGGGGAAGCTCTAAGGAGGGAGATCCTTAAGTCCAGAATGTCTCAGAAAGTTCCAGGGTCACTCCTGCTCTTGTGGTTCCAATCAGTCTCTGCACCTTCCCAGGAAGTGTCAACTCACCTCGGCTTCCTTCAAGCGCCGTTCAAACCAGCCCTTGGCGCCATCCATGGAATGCACCTGAGCTTGCAGCTCCTCCACTGTCTGTTGGAGGGTCTCTAGTTCCCGTGTTCGAGCCTGGGAGTGGACAGACAGACACTTGTGGGGAAAGACTGATGGGGAGGAGAGTGGGAACCTTGCCCACACCATTCACTGGTGCAGGAACAACACTAAGGGGTCCCCAGGACTTTGAAAAGGAAGGGCCAGTGCCCTTAGCCTACCCACCTTCTCCTCCCGGATCTGGCCCCGGAGCTCCTCCTCCTGACGTTTCTTGTCCTCGTGCAGCTCCCGGAGCTCACGCTCATAGCGGGCACGCACCCCTAGCACCTCCTTCTCATGTCGGAGTCGGATTGCTCCCAGCTCCTCCTTGTGCTGAGACTTCTCCTGCAGCGTCTCCATGGCAAGCTCATCCAGCATGGCCTTGCGCTTCTCAGCACTCTGGGCCCCAAGAGGCTGACGGTCAACCTCCTGCTCTTCCTCTAACACCCACAGAGGTCTGCCCCGCCTCTCCCTCTGTGCCCAAGGAATGTCCCAAACCTGATCCCTTTCCTGTCTCCACCCCAACTGAGTCACACTCAGCCATCCTCAGAGAACTAGCCACTTTTCCCACCTCCCCATTCTCAGGGAATATGGTCAAGAAACTGGTCACAGAACCAGTGAACTTCCGTCCCGTTCCCATTGTCATGAATTTAGCCATATCACCTTCTCCCATCTGGCTAGACTTCACTCCTCCCTCTACATTGCCCCACCTTCCGAGCCTCTTGCAGTTCCTGGGTTAACTGCTCCTTCTCTTGTCCAATTTCTTGTAGCTGTTCCAGCAGCCGACTATTGGCCCGCAATGACTCCTAGTATAGGAATGAAGGGGGAAGAAGTTTAATAAACAGCTCTCAGTAGGTGCCAGTCCTCACACATGGGCACTTTGGAAAGTATTTACCTTCCTCTGGCAAAGCAGGTGTTGTGACCTCAATCACTACTGGAGAAACAGGAAAGACTTTTTCCCAGCATCCATTCCTACTCCCCAACACACACACACACACTCCTAACTGTGGAATTTGTGGTTGGGCCCATGGATGTCTAGCAGATGTTTCCCTCCATCCCTCCCAGCTCAGGGTGGTCATGGAATTAATTTCCTTGCTTAAACATGTATTCATTTATCTGTTTGAAAGGCAGAGGTACAGACATGGAGAGACATACATAGAGAGAAAAAGAGAAGGCATCCACTGCTTCGCTCCCCAAATGCAGTTGGAGTTGGGCCAGGTCAAAGCCAGGAGCCTGGAACTCCATCCAGGTCTCCCATGTGAGCAGCAGGGACCCAAATAGCACTTGAGCCCTCTTGTGCTGTTTTCCCAGGCACATGAGCAATGAGCTGGATTGGAAGCTGAGCAGATGGGACTTGAACCAGTGTTTGCAATGTGGGATGCTGGTATTGAAAGCAGCAGTCACAATGCTGTATTCCAGTGCTCACTCCCATGTGCTTAATTTCTTTGTGCAAAAAAGACAAATATAACTTAAGTTGTGCTCTTAAAGGAAATGGGCATGTTGTTCCATGTCCCTTTTGCTCTTTCCCTCCAGACAGACTGCAGGGACGATGCAGGGGAAGACTGAGCAAGTATTTTGGATGTCAAGAGGAAAGTCTTGTGTTCAAAGTGACAAACACGCAATGGAGAAAGAACCTGAGGCACTGCTGATTGGAAAGTGATTGTTCCATTCTTAACCTTCCTGGAGTTTCACGTGAGTCCAAACTACCTTATTTAACCCAGTGTTATTCTGGTTCCTACAGAATGAGCATTCCAAATCTAAAAATCTGAAATCTGGGGCTGGCATGTAGCAACAGGTTAATCAGTCACTTCCAACATCAGTATCCCAAAACAGAGTCCCAAATGCTCTACTTCTTTTTTAATTGTTTGTTTAAAATTTTGTTTTAGTTATTTGAAAGGCAGAGTTTCAAAAAGAGAGGGAGGGAAAGAGAAGGAGAGGAAAAAGGAGGGACAAAGAGAGAGAGGGAGGAAGATGGAGAGAGAGACAGACAGTCTTCTGTCTGCCAGTCTACCTTCCAAATAGCTGCAATGTCTGGGGCTGGGCCTGGCTTTCCCAGGCACATTAGCAGGGAGATGGATTGGAAGTGGAGCAGCCAGGGAGCCAGCCTGTGGCATAAGAGTAACATTGAAACACCACCTGAGATGCCAGCATCCTATGTGGTCACCGGTTTAAGTCCTAGCTGTTCTGTTTCTGATCCAGCTCCTTGCTGCTGTATCTCAAAAAGCAGCAGAAAATGGTCCAAGTACTTGGGGCCCCTACATCCCACATAGGAGACCCATAAGAAGCTCCTGGCATTAAGCTCCTCCCAGCCCTGGCCATTATAACCATTTAGGGAGTAAACCAGCAGGTGCAGGATCTTGTCTTTCTTTCCTTCTCTCTTTCTGTAACTCTGCTTTCAAATGACTGAACTGTTATGGAAGAAAAAAGTGGAACATCCAGGACTTGAGCCATCATCACCCTTATGGGATGTTGGCATGGCAAGGAATGGCTGCACTCACTGATCCAGATTTTGTGGAATGCAATTTATAGGCAGTGCATGATAGCTGAATACTTGTGCTCCTGCCATCCAAATGGAAGATCCAGGTGTAGCTCCTGATTCCTGGTATTATCTTAGCCAGCCCTGGCCATTATGGCCATTTGGAGAATGAACCCGCAAATGAAAGATCTGTCTCTGTAACCCTTTATTCAAATAAATAAATCTTTATAAAAAATGCAAGTACACTAATATTATATAACATAACCTTCTAGCTATGCATATGAAACAGCAATAAATTTTATGTTCAGGCCTCAGTCCCACCCCTAAGGTATCTCATTATGTATGAAGGGTATTCAAAAAGTTAATAGAGGGACTGGCACAGTGGCTCTACAGGCTAATCCTCCATCTGCAAGCAATAGCATATTATATAGTACCAGTTCACGTCCCAGTTGCTCCACTTTCAATGCAGCTCCCTGCTTAAGGCCTGAGAAAGCAGTGGAGGATGGCCAAAACCTTGGGCCCCATGTGGAAGACCCGGAAGAGGCTCCTGGCTCCTGGCTTTGGATCAGCTCAGCTCTGGCCATTGTGGCAAAATTTGGAGAGTGAATCAGCAGATGAAAGATCTTTCTTTCTTCATCTCTCCTCTGTAAACTGCCTTTCTGATAAAATAAATTTTTCTTTTAAGTTAATGGAACATGCATGGTGTAACAAAACTGTGGATTTCAAAATTTTTGCCCCAAAATGAGGTTCTTTCCATGAACTTTTTGAAATACCTTCATATATTCCAATTTTTTTAAATTATCAACATGTCTGGTTCCATATATTTGAGATATGAGTGTTCTGCACGTTCTATAGAATCAGAATAGATATCTTAACTAATCAATAATCAGTATCAGAAAAGTAAAATGACTTATCCCAGGAAATACATGTGCTAACAAGTTAGCGAGCCAGACTACATCCTCCTTGATCCACAGTTTCCCCACCTGCCCCTCCGGGGGGCCCTAATGAGGTAGACTCAGGAAGATAGGAGAAAACAGGCAAGGGGCAGAGGTGTTACCTGGAGCTGGGAGTTGAGGTCATCCTTTTGTCCCATGAGGTCCTCATACTCGGCCTGCCGCTGCTGCAGCTCAGCTGCCTGGCTGGTGGTCTGTTCCCGGAGCATATTCAGTTCCTGGGTCTTTGCTGTTTGAATCTAGAGAAAGCAGTAGTGACAGAAAGTGGAGTGAAAGGGAACTCAGTGGCCAGGCATGGGACATGGGGCCTCCCAGTTCCAGGAGGACAGAGAAAGGTGGCAAGAGAGGCAGGAAGAGAGGACATTGCAAGCATACAAGCAGTGAGGGCACTGAATAAATGTGATGATGATAAATATGATGATAATGTGGTGCTAAATAAATAAATATGATGATTAAAAAAAAAGAACAGTTGTTTGCAGGTAAATAAACCTCACAGACATATAATATGGCCAGAAAGGAACCCACAAGTATCTGATTTTATTTATATGAAGTTAAAGAACAAATGCAATGCATCAAGCTAGCCAGAGGTCAGGAGAATGGTTATTTTTGGGGGAGTATTGACCAGGCCATCTAGGCTACTGAAAATGCTATGAAGCTCAATCTGGGTGGTGGTCTGCATGCAGATAGATACTGCAAGAGCTCAGGGCCTACTTAAGATTAGTACTATTCATGCACTTGACTAGAGGGACATTAGGATGCAAGGGAAACAGGGATGGAGGGCCTGTGTTCACAGGAAGCCAGCAAGAAAGGAGACGAAGAAGCTGAGGTAGGAGAACAGCATGGGGTCCAGACCCTCCTGGCCCAATGTGGATCAGAAGCAGAGAGAGCTGGGAGAGATGGGGAAGGATCAGCAAGGGTTCCCAGGTGTCTTATACCTGCTCCAGGGCAGCCAGGCTAGTCCTCAAGGCATTGTTTTCAGCCAAAAGCCCTTCCACTTGTTCCTGTGCATCTGCACTCTGGATGGATACCTGGACCCAGCCCCACAACAGGGGAGAGTGGGTCCAGAACAGGAAGACAGAACTTACTTGCAGCCAAGAAAGAAGATAAGGAGCACACACGTTCGCGCGCACACACATTGTTCTCATTCATTCAATGCCAACTCCCCAAGCCCATTCAGTACCATGTACCTGATCTTGCAATGCCCGCAAAGCTGCTGCATGCTCCAGCCGCTCCCCTTGCCGCTGATCTCTTAGCTCTGCCAAGCTCTGTGGGGAATAGGAAAGGGAGAACATTCCAGACACTACAGATCTCCCCTGTAGTGCATATAAAGCATACAGCCCTCCCACCTCACCCCCACCTCAACCCACTACCTCTGACCCCCCAACAGCCTGTCTCTAGTTCCCATGGGTCTCAGACAACACAGCTATCAGCATCCTCAGGAGCCCCTGGACTCTAGGCCATTACCCACACGTGTCCCCTCTATTCCAGTCTCCAGGCATCTCAGGCACAGCCAGGCTCCTGGCCCTAGCTCCTGGGGACAGGCTGGAGGGGCAGGGAGTTCGAACTCACTCAGCCCTCATCCTTAAGAGGCATCTCACTCCCCAGGTGCCAGTTCATGAGCCTCAACTCCTGAGCCACCATCATCCCCCAGGGATCCCAGAGGCATTCAACACCTACCAAAGTTTCACATCCACCCAGGTTTGTTGTACCAGAATATAGACACTTCAAGTTCATACAAGCTGTCAGTTTCCTGCTTCTAGTAAAACTGCAGATGGACCTTCCCATCTGTCACTCAGACTCAGCCGAGCATCAGTTCTTGAGGGGTCTCAGCTTTCTCCAGATTCCTGGACCAATGCCCTCTCCACTGCATTCTGAAGTCTAGGAGTATTAGACCCACAAGCCACTATACCCTCCATTTCAAGGGACCTCCAACTTGCTCTTCTAGGTGGAAACCTGAAGTTCTGGCATTCTAGCCCCTAACCATTACTCAGGAGCCTTTGAGCACACCTAAACTTTGGTCTAGCACCTAGAGGTCTCAGACTTACAAGCTTCTTATTTGCAGCCCCCAGGGCATCCAGAACCATGCAGCCCGTTATTCTTTCTAGGTATTAGAGGCCCACCCAAACTGGTCCCCAGACCTCCAGGATCTCCAAATGTATTCAGCCTTCATCCCCTACTGCTTCAATCATGAAATCTTTTAAATCTATTCAACCCCCGACCCATGTCTTCAGTCCTTAGTGGCAAGTTTAGTGGCACCCCAGGCCCTCAAGGTCATAAAGTCACCTCACCTCTAGGGAATCCAATCCCAGTTCCCACTGACCACACATGTCTCCAATGTCGGGAGTTTCCAACTCACATGAATTTGTGGCACACAACCCCTCAGGATCTGTGATTCATGTAGACTCTGATTCCAACTTCTAAGGCCCTCAGGGCTCCCTCATGGCCCACTCCCCAACATCCTAGGGTGGCCCAGGAATTATGTCATCCGTGCACTTTGAACACAGGAACCATCACACCCCTTAACCAGCCTCCAGAGACCTCAGACTTCTCCAGATATCTCAGAATCAGTCCCCCACCCCACCCCCACACCTGATTGGCAGCCTCAAGTTCTTGCTGCAGCTTCTGGGTTTGAGCCAACTGTGCTTTGAGATCCGCTTCCTTTCGCTGTTGTAACTCCTCAATCTTGTTCCTGGGGGTGATATTGAGGGGCACATTGGGTGTGGCTTCAGGCTGTCTCTCAGCACAGACCCTATGTTCTTCAGTACATGCTGCTGGGCCACTCAGTTTCCAACCCTGGAAGTTACCTGCTGTCGTTGAACAACGTTTCCTTTTCTGTCTGCAGACGGCAAAAACTGGTGAGGAAAGACAAGCACAGACGGGTCAACCCCACAGGTCAATTCCCACATTTCCCCTCAAGACCCCTGGTAAAAAGGAAAATTACCTCTCTTGTTTCTTTTTCAGTTTCTCGTTGAGCTGAGCAGGGCCGGGGGAGGATGGGGGTGAGGAGGATGAAGGGGCACAGACAAGTGATAACAGTAAGAATAATATTCAACAGAAAAAGAGACTTAATATTCAGATATTTCTTACTCAGTCCTTTCTGGAAGCCAGGATTTATGTTATCTTGCAGAATAGGAGTACTACTGTTTTGTTTTGATTTTTTTTTAAACAAATGGACAAACTGAGTCCCAGCTGGTCAATAGCGATGACATTATATCCACTCAAAACCCACAGGCTCCAAAGCCCAATTTTTATGCACCCCAATTGGTGGCCAAGGGCCATGTCACAGTCTGGGAAGTCTAGAAAGAATCCAGAGTCATGATCAGTTGTCTAACCACTGCGTTTCTAATATCTAATATCTAATCAGGGTTCTATAAATGTTTGAATAGATGAATGAATGAATGAAAGGAACAAGAAGGCTGGGTCCTGCAATACACAAGATATGGTTGGGACCACCCAAACCCATTCCGCGTTGAAAACAATGGAGACCTAAATGTGAGTCTCTTGATTTACAGATGATGAACATAAGGCTTAAAGGGGACTCAATGCCCTTTCTGTGCTGTCAGGGAAGTTTTGCAGTTGGGGAGTGCAATATGCTAAAGTTCCTAGAAGCTCCCAGACGCCCCCACCTTAGCAAGCTCCTCTTGCAGCCTGGATGTCTCAGCTTGCTTGGAGCTCTGCACGGAAGAAAGTCTGGGGTTACTGTCACCAGGAAGAGAGCAGGCCTCTGCCTTCCTGTCCCACTGCCTCCCTCCTCCTCATAGTCCAGGAGGGAGGTAGTGACATCACAGACATCTCCATGGAACCACGGGCAGAGCCAATAAATCTGCTTTCTCCCAGGGTCCCAACCCCTACACAGCTAGATTCACCTCCAATCCTTGCAGTTGTTCCCAGAGCAACCTCTTTTCTTCTTTTTCCATTTCCCACTTCAACTCCACCTCTGCCAATGGCATGGGAGCCAGAACAGTGGGGGTCAGCTCCCCAGGGGCATCCCCGTGCCCCTCAGTGACAGCTGAGGACTTCCCAGACTCTTTCTCGTAGCGTTCCTGCAGAGCTGTTGAGTAGAACATATGGTGGATAAGATGGGTGTCCGAAGTCCTTGCCATGCCCCAGCTATAGGGAAAACTGGCCTTGACCCTTCCAAATGACCACAGCCTACCAGATTGAAGGTTCAGCTCCATCCTCACCTCTCCTGATTATTTTAAGCACAACCAATAACTGAGAGCCTATTAGCCTACACTAGTTTTCCAAGCCCCATTCTTAAACTTCCAGGTCCCACCAAAATCTTCCAAAGTTTCACCTGCAACTTACACGTGAATCCCCTCCTCTAACTTCCTAAATCCTAATCCACATTCTATAGAATCTCCCTTCTGATCATCAAAACAGCAGCCATCAACATACAAGCCCTAGCTGCTTGCAAAAGGGTCACACATCAGGGCCTTCCTGCTCAGCTTTTCTTTCCAATTCCATTTCTTCCCTGTGTTCACAATCTTCAAACTGCTCCTTCCTTCACTTTCTCCATTTAGTAAGTGTATCCTTTCAGCATTCCAGCTGCTCTTCTCAATCATTTGTTTCATTCCAGGCACTGAGTTAAGTGCAGGTTACCTCCTATCTCTCCTACTACCATCACCCAGGTGGCAGACATTACCACACATAGTTTGTCAAGAAGGGAGGGTCATTAAAGAGAGAACTGGCTTGTCCAAACCACACACTGGTTGGTGGTAGGGCCACATCTCATTCTGAGTCCCCTCTCCCTCCCCTAAAAGCACAATACCTTTCCTGACCCTACCCAGGTTCCAAGGTCTCCATCCCCAGGGAGGGCCTCCAGCTACCTGCCACGTTCTTCTGCAAGGCTGTATTCTCTGCCTGCAGTCTGAGCAGCTCCCCATCCACATGGGGCCCAACATGGGCAGCCACTGCTCCAGAAGCCCCGTCCTTCAGTTTTTGGTTCTCCTGCTCCAGCTGCTCCATCTGGCTGCAGAGCTGAGCAGAAGGAGAGAGAAGTAGAGGAGAAGCAGATGAGAACAATGCTCAGTGAAACCATGAATGGCTCTTAGCCATGCATTTCCCAATTCATTTAGTTCCCCCAAACAACCCTATGATGTAAGTACTGTCACATATTAAACACAAGGACACTGAGGAAGCAATGTTAAACAATGTCATAGGTCTGTTAAAGGGCAGCATCAAAGAGGATCAGGAAGGAAGGAAGGAATGGCAGGTGTTTGGGCATGGCAATTAAGACATCACTTAGGATGTACACATTGCATATTGTGGTGCCTGGATTTGAGTCCAAGCTCTGTTTCCAATTTTCCCATTGCTTCCAAGGAGGGACAAAATCCACAGGACCTTGACTCTTGTGTGGGACACATGGGTTTTTTGCCTGGCCCAACCTCTGGCTGTTATGGGCGGGGGTGTGTGTGTGTGTGTGTGTGAGGGGTGGGTTTTTTTTCCCCCTTTCTATCTGCCTTTCAAACAAGTAAAATAAAGGGATTAGTGTTGTGCTGCCCAGGATGAACCCACTGTTTGGGCCACCTGCATCCCAATATCAGAGTACCTGGGATCAAGCCCCACCTTTGCTTCTGAACCAGTTTCTTACTAATGAGCACCCAAGGAAGCGGCAAAAGATGGCTCAAGTATTTGGGTCCCTGCCATTCACATGGTATATCAGGATAAAATTCCTGGGCCAGTCCTGGCTGTCATGAACATTTGGGGAGTAAACAATGAACAGAAAATCTCTTTCTCTCTTGTCTTTCAGATAAATTAAAGAGAAGAGAGTACTCAGAACAATTTTCTCCTTGTCTGCTTCCAGCCTCACCTGCAACCCAAGACTACAGGTTCCTCTGAAAGCTGTCAGTACCATGGATAGCCCCACTGTCACCCTCTTCTATGAAGGCTCTCTGGGTCCTGCATCCCAGGCCCAGGGACAGTGCCTTTTCAGCCCAGGCATCACAGACCATCCTTCAGGACACTGCCAGGACCAATACTGCCTACATCTCCTGCACCGCCAATGCCTGGCCCTGGAATGCAAATTAAAACTAAGTCAGCCCCATGTTCTCACAGGACAGCACTCACAGCAGTTCTGACATAGTTCCTTTGTCACCATTTTTTTAATGTGAAAATACTGAGGTCCTCATGTATTTTATATTCTTTGGATTATTTTCTACCTAGAAAATTATTTCCTTGATTTAGTTCTTCACATGACTGACTTATCTGAATATTTCAGTGCTCTGTTCAGATGTCACTGTTACAATAAGTAGCCCTTAAAATAACAACAACAACAAATAAGTAGCCTTTGAGGTAGGCATTTGGCCCAGTAGTTAAGATGCTGTTTGGGGAGGTAAGAAGGGATGGTATTATAGCATAGTTGCTAAAACCTCAGCCTGCAATGCCAGCATCTCATACAGACACCACTTTGAATTCTATCTGCTCCACTTCTGATCGATCTCCCTGCTAAAGTGCCTGGGAAAACAGGGGAAGATGGTTCAGGTACTTGAGCCACTGCACCCACATGGAGGCCCCACAAGAAGCTCCTGACTCCTAGTTTTGGCCTGGCCCAGATCGGTCTCTATCACTCTGCCTCTCAAATAAATAAATGAATAAATCTTCTTTTAAAAGCCAGCTAATACCACTGTGACTTGTTCTGTAGGTTATCATCTTTCTTCTAACCTCAGAATGTAAGCAACCCAAAAGTGCAGACTTTGCAGTGCCTGACCTAGGATACAGGGAAACACGAGCCAAGTATGTGGAAAAATGTCTATTCCTGCCTCAACCTCCAAGAGTGACGGTATCACAGAAGCCAGAAACAGGAAGCAGTGAGAAGGCAAGTGCTGAGCGGCACAGCTACCTGAGCATCAGGGGTTCTGAATAGGGGGTGGAATCCCACTGGATTATAAAGTGTTTAATAAAGTGATATAAGGACAGATGTATGGTTCAGCCTGGGTTCAAGTTCTAAAATGCATCCTGGGAGACCCAAATTGTGTCCCAGATTTTCAGTATTAGCCTGACCCAGCTCTGGCTGTTGTGAATATGTATGAAGTAAACGAGGAGGACTGGCGCTCTGATATAGTGTGTAAAGTTAAACTTGCTGTGACAGCATCCCATAACGGTGTCAGTTCAAGTTCCAGCTGCTCCACTTCAATCCAGCTTCCTGCTAAAGTGCCTGGGAGAGCAGTATAAGTTGGCCTAAGCCCTTAAGCCCCTGCACCCATGTGGAAGACCTTGAAGAAGCTTCTGTCTCCTGGCTTAGGACCAATCCAGCTCTGGCCATTGCAGCCATTTGGGGAGTGAACCAATAGGTGAAAGACTTCTCTGTTTCTCCTTTTCTGTGTGTAACTCTGCCTTCATAAAAATAAATATTTTCTTAAAATAAAGGTTAAAAGATCACTTTCTATCAAATAAAATATAAACAGAGTAAATTTGAAGGAATGTTGTAGTAAAACCTGCAGGTCAGAGCCATGTCTGTGGTATGGACTAGTAGAAAATAGTAGCAGTGAAGAGATTGTGGAAACAGTGCAGGTGGCAAGTGGTGAGGGCCAAGGTAACCCAGGATAGACATAAAACTTTTTCAAAGTCAAGAAACATTATAGAGCGAAAATGAGAAGAAAGGAGATTATGGATAGCTAGCCCTCCCACAGCTGATACTGCATGAGGCCCTATGCTACATGACTGTCACACGTTTACCTATTTAATCCTCACAAAAGGCCAGTGAAGTACATACTGTTATTTACATTTAAAATATTTGGGAACCATGATAGTAGCAGGCAGTAGAAGAAACTGTCAGGAGTACAGGTTCAAGGTAGCAGAAATCTGCAATCCAGAGTCCTTCCTAAGAACTACTGCTTGTTAAACTGCTTCTCCTGGTTTTATATCTGCTCCAAGGTTGTTTTTGCTTTTTTATTTTTCAAGATTCACTTACTGGTTTGAAAGGCAGAGTGTCAGAGAGATGGGAAGAATGGACAAGATTGTTGTCCACTTGCTAGTTTATTTCCCAAATGACTGCAATGGTCTGAGCTATACTAGGCCAAAACCTGGACCCCAAAACTCTATCTGGGTCTTCCATGTGGGTGGTAGAGGCCCAAGTACTTGGGTAATCTTCCACTGCCTTCCCAGGCATATTACAAAGGAGCTGCATCAAAAGTAGAGCAACCGAGAAGTGAAGCTTGGCTCCCATGTGGGATGCGGAGTTTTGAGTTGAGGCTTAACCCTATGTTCCACACAAAAGCCCTCCCCTCCTCCCTCTTCAGCTCTTTAAACATTGTGTTCTCAGGTTAAGGGTTAGAAATACCATTTTTGCTCCCAGGAGAATTTCTTCCTTAAAACATACTAAGAAACACTGGGAGAACTTTTTTTTTTCCCAGCCAAGGGCCATATTGGATAGTTATGGTATTATTTGTGGGGCACATACACAAAAAAATCTACTTAAAAAATAGCCTGCTCTAAATTCATTGAATTTCAAGACCCACTGCACTTGTCTTGGTAGGGCCAGACCGAGTGATTCTACATATTTATATGGCCTGTGGTCTGGGTGGTCGCCACCCTACACCAAGAGATCAGTGCTGTGGTGCACTGGATCAAGTCATTGCTTGCAAAGCTGTCATCCAATTTCAGAGTGCCAGTTCAAATCCTGGCCCCTTTGCTTCTGATCCCAGCTTCCTGCTAATGCACCTGGGAAGACACTGGAAGATGGCCCACGTACTTGGGCCCCTGCCACACATGTGAGAGATCAGGTTCCTGGCTTCGGCCTGGCCCAGACCTAACTGATGCAACCATTTGGGAAATGAACCAGCAAACAGAAGATATCTTTCTGTCCCTCTCTCTCTGTGACTCTGCCTTTTAAATAAAGAAAGAAATCTTTAAAACTATACACTATAAAGTCAGTGAGCTTTTAAACAAAGGCACAGAAGACAAAAAAAGGAACAATAGTTAATATTTTCAACTACCCAGTGTTTTTATAAACAGCCACTACACTAAAATCAGTAAGAAGATAGAATTAGCCAGTCCAGAATGAACCTTAGGTTCATGTCAGATAAAGGCAAGGCAGATAAAATGGAAATAACACCCTCTATTAAACATAAGAATTTTATCTAAATCCCCCAACATCCTGGGGTATCACAGCATTGACCCAAATTACACATGGGGAGACTTGAAGTCCAAAGAAAAAGAATGACTTGCCCAGGAACCAGTTGACTCCATGGCTGGAAACCTTCTGTTCTCAACACAGTGAGCCCTTCTGTGAAACCCTTGCCCCCCAGAAGCCAGCTGGGACTTATTTCAGCACCAAGGACAGTGCTCCAAACGCCAGACCCTGTCTAACCCCCCTCTACTGCCCTTAGTTTTCAGCCCAAGATAGTCCCTCCAACCCCGGCTTTTCCCTGGGGCTATCCCGGGCACCAGCACCTTGCTGAATTCAGCCATGAGTGTGCTGTTCTGCAAGCGGAAGTCTTCCTCCTGGCTGTGCAGCTTTGCCTGCAACATCTCATTTTCACTCAGCAGTACCTCGATTTCCTGCAGTGGCAGACAGGGGCCAGGAATCCATCAGGGGCGGAAAGGATGAGAGTTGAGTAAAGAAAGAGATGAGAAAATTACATAGAGGCAGGAAACAGTAGAGAAGGAGAGAGGATGAGGGAGGGGAGAGAGTGTGTGAGAGAGAGAGAGAATAAGAACCAGGGAAGGGGAAGAGAGATATGGTGGCAGGGGGAGGTAGAGAAGAGGAAAAACGGGGAAAGAAGAGAAAGACATGGAAGGAGATACAAGAAGGGAGAGAGAGGAAGAAAAGAAAGGAGAAAATCATGATGGGGGAGGAGGTAAAAGGAGATGGGGAAGGAGGACAGGCAAGGAGAGAAGGATTGGAAAGGGAAGAGAGGAAAGGCAAGAAGAAAGAGACAAAAATAGATCAATGCAAAGAAAACAGAACAGAGAGAGGTTCAACGAAAGAAATAAGACAGGAAGAGATAGAGGATTGGAAAGAAGGGAAGCAAGGAATCAGAGAAGGTAGGTGGAGAAAGGGGGAGAGGAGGAATGAAAGAGAGGGAGGCATGGAGAGAAAAAAGGAAGGGAGGGAGAAAAGAGATGGCAGAGATGGGAATGGATGGGGGAGAGAAGAGAAGGTTGGAGAAAGAACAGTTACAGAGAGGAACAGGAGAACAGAGATGGGGCAGAGTCTCAGTGAGAAGGACCAAGACAGAAAAATGGAGAAGAGACCCAAAGAAGCACAGAATTCAAGATCAACACAGGAAAAACAGACAGCCACAGAAACACATAACAGTGAGTTAGTCACAGATGCAAGGGCACACTGAAAGAAGACATACAGAAATACCTCCACCAACTGTCTCCCAGACACGGGTGCTTTCCATGGGTCCTCTTACCTGAGCTTTCTTGCTCTTGCTCAGTGCCTAAAGTGGGAGAAGAGAGTTCCAGTGAATAGAGATGTATCCATCAGCTAGAGCTTGGAGACAACTGTGGCAAGCACAAAGGTGATGGGGCAATAATAAGGCTGTGAAGTGGGAGGGTCTTCAAACACAGAACTTGTGTAACAATGTGGGAGTCTACAGGAGTGACAGAAAAAATGAGTAAAGGAATGAGAAACATGCCTGGTGCTACAGCAGACAGCTATCATCCTTTCCTGTAAGTTCTTAGGAGGTCTAAGGGGTGGGGTAGGTGTGTGTGTGATCCCATATGGGTGCCGGTTCATGTCCTGGCTGCTCCACTTCCCATCCAGCTCCCTGCTTGTGGCCTGGAAAAGCAGTAGAGGATGGCCCAAAGACTTGGGCTCCTGCACACATGTGAGAGACCTGGAAGAAGCTCCTGGCTTCTGGCTTTGGATCAGATCAGCTCTGGTTGCTGTAGCCACTTGGGGAGTGAATTAGCGGATAGAAAATCTCTCTCTCTGTCTCTCCTTCTCTGTAATTCTGCCTTCCCAATAAAAATAAATAAATCTTAAAAAAAAAATAAGAAACTGCCACACCCCTACTGGGCAGTGGAGGGCACAACCAGGTTTGGGGAACCAGTACCCTAGCAAAGAGAAACAGCCAATATTCTGCATCCTGCAATATTCATCCAACAAATATTTTACCAAAAATGAACTATGATGCATATAAGAAGGAGACAAAGGATTCCTGTAAATGTCTGAAAGGGCTGAGGCAGATTATATTTCTATCTCATCTTCAGAGGCTCTGGAAGGTAGGGTCAGTCTCAGTTTTGCCAACAGAAAAATGAAAGGGATAACAGGCAGGAACCCAAGGCAACTATGTGAGTCAAGGATGGTGGTTATACTCAAGGCAGAATTTTGGACAGATTTGAGTGAATGAGAATGACTAAGCTATTCAAGTTGGACATCAATAAAGAGTAAATGAAAACTAATCACTAAATTAGGCAGGATTAGGTCAAGTTAGCAAACTAAGAGACTTCCATGCATGGAAGCAGTATGTGACATTTGGTCCAGTTTACTGTGGGTGCTTACTGGATGGGTGAATGTGTCAGTTGCTTAGAGGGAAGCATGGCTAAAGGGATGGGTAGGTGTAGGGAGGTACCTTCTGAGCTTTGCTGAATTCCTTATCCAGGTAGGCGACCTTCTGTCGAAGACTGGCGAGTTCTGGGAGAAGGAAAGCAGGGAGTCTCAGGCAGTAGGTAAGAAGTTGAAAGATCTTCTTGCCAGGCCTTGGAGGGAAAAAAGCCTGGCCTCCACCCCCACAAAGCCATCCCTTTCCCGGCCATCTAATGAGACCCTCTTGGCCTCACCAACTCCATTTTTGCGTAGTTCATCTGAGAGCTGGTAGTTGTTAGTCCGAAGTTCCAGGAGCTGGGCCTTTAGGGGAAATAGGAAAGGGAGAAGATTTTGTCAGGAGCACATCTCTATTCCCACCCATAGTGAACCAAGCCCCTAAGCCCCAGTCCCTCAGTGTGCCTCTTAAGATCTGTGCAGGGCTGGTATGCTAGCTCAATTGGATAATTCTCTGCCTACAAGTATTGACACCCCATATGGATGCCAGTTGGTGTTCCAGCTGCACCACTTCCCATACAGTTCCATGCTTATGGTTTGGGAAAGCAGATGAGGATGGTCCAAAGCCTTGGGACCCTGCACCCACATGGGAAACCTGGAAGAAGCTCCTGGCTCCTGGCTGCTGACTTTGGATAAGCTCAGCTCTGGCCATTGCAACCACTTGAGGAATAAATCAGCGATGGAAGATCTTTCTGTCTCTCCTTCTCTCTGTATATCTGCCTTTCCAATAAAAATAAATACATCTTTTAAAAAAAAAACTATGCACACTGTTTCCTCAATGAGCTTCCAGGCCCTCAGCCCCTCACTGTCCCAGCTCCTCTGACTCCTCTCATGACCCCAGACAGCTGAACAGCTCCATCAACCCTGCTCCAATCCACTCTGCACTCAGGCCATGGCAGAGTACTGAGTCAGCTGGGCTCTTGTTTGTGTGTGTCCCATGGCTCTCCACGCCCACAGGATCAAGGTCCTCCTCCTCCTGGCTGACCTGTTTCCACACACTGAAGATTGTCAGGGGTGGAGTGGTGTGCATCCTCCCCATCACACCTGGAGGTGCAAGACAGCAGGAAAAGAGTATCTTCTATTCTCCTGCCCATCTTTCCCTGGGTCAGGAGGACTCCACAATCCTCCATCCCTGTACCTCCCTCACCCCTAAGGCTCTGAAAAAAAAAAAATAGTCAGGGTTTCTTCAAAACTGAAAGAATGGCTTGCCCAGACAGCACACCCATGTCTACCAACCCTACAGACCCAAGGCAGCTTCTTCCCATACCCAATCACTGCCCCTTACTCTAGCAGCACCTTCTGCTCCCTCTCATGGCACCTTCCTTCACTCTCCCCCACCTCCAGCTCCTGCTGGTCTGCTGAAGCTCTGAAGGCTTGGTCTCTACAAAATCATTCTTGCCTCTGTCCTCTCCAGAACGCAGGGATTGGTCTGTAAATCCCACCACAATGCGAACATCTTTTGTACAGCCTTGGAGTCCCTGTGCAATAGAGCCCAATGGTTTTCCCTTCTACACAGCCCAGTGGGCTCAATCTGCCTTACTCCATGGGTTCCTCCCACACTGCTCAAGATCTCCCCAAATCATGATGCAAGGGGAAGGCTCTGCACACATCAGTCTATAAGATTTGGAGTGGGTTGGGTGGCTCACGTGTTACAGTGCTCTTCCCCATTCAAAGTGAGCTAAGTTCACCCTTCCATCCAGCCTCAATGGGCTTCATACAGGGGACACCTGGTTTCCCTCATTCAAGTACCAATCAAACTATCAAACCTCAGAATTCATCTCCTACCCCAACAGGATCCTGCTCCCTCTCTGAACCTTCCACAGCATGGAACTCTTAACAATAGTACACTTATGGTGGGTTACTATGGCCATTCATACCCTCTCTGAATATCCTCCATTTCAGGAAAGAACCAGGGGGCCAGAACACCCAGATCATCTCCTAAAAACTCTTGTGAGTTCCCTTGCATGCAGTCTCAAGTGTCCCTTTTCACCCACACCTCTGATGCTGTCCCAGCAGCTGATGAGGTCATCCCTAGTCATCCAACAGTACTGCCTCCTATTAGCATTCATCTCTCCACTTGCAGGGACCTCTTTCTCACAACACCAGAGCCGGGGCTTTTCCCAAATGCCTTGTCATAGTGGTATCGTCCACAAACTTTCCACCTCCCACCATCTAATGGTATGGCCCTCTCCTGGGCTCCCCCCCAGCATGACGCAAACAGTCCAGCTTCAGCTTCCTTCCTCTCCACACAAAATGGTTTCGCCCTCAGAATCTCCTTCTTTCAAAGCCCAGCATTATTATCAGCCATGGTGTCCTTTGCACGAGCCCAAAGGTCTCGCCCCACCCCCAGGCCTGAGTAAGGTAATGCTCATTCAAGGACGATCTCCTCCCACCTACAAAGCTAACAGAATACAGCTTTCAAAAATACAACCGGCAAGAATCTCAGATTCCAACAGTCTCACCACTCAGCTCCTCAATTTCCCTTCTCCAGCCCAACCTCTTTAGACTCAAGAGTCCATCCCAACCAGCTCGTCAGAGGCGGTGGCATGACCGCTCTGCACCCCGCCCCTGCTCGCCCAGCCCGGTGGTCTTTCCCACGGCGAGCGGCACCTGCATCCGCTGAAACTCCTCCTCAGACAGAGCTTGCGCCATGTTCCTCCCCCCCCACCCCACCCCCTACAGCTTTCTACGCAGACGCAGCTCCGGCCTCCTGTCAGTATTCAGGTCGGAGCAAACCACTCTCCAGGAATGGAGGGGGAGAAACGTAATTCGGAAGGTCGGGACTTTGGAGATGGAAAGAAGATAATGGAATGAATAGGGCAGACGAATTGTGATTTAAACGTGTTGCCAGAATGCAAGCTGCCTGGCCTGGCGTTAGAGCTAGTGGAGCGTATCATTCTGATGCTACACTATAACACCCCTGCTTCATGGGTAGACTCGTCGCTAAGGAAGTGTTTGCCGACAGAAAATCACCCTTCCGCGGTACTCCTTTAATAAAAAAAGGTTGACTTAAAGCACAGAAATGAAAGCGGAAGCTTTGCGCCGGTAAGTATTTCGTTCCCGCCCCCCTCCGGATGACCCCAAAGGGGAATCCCACCTTTTCTGAAATCCTCGGCCTCATTTATTTATTTATTTATTCATTTATTTATTTATTTATTTTAATCTGACAATGATTTTGTATATTGCTTTCGTATCATTTCTCGAGCTTTTGGCCAAGATCAAGTGTTGTACATACAAGTGCCCTAGCCACGAATACATTTGAGATACTGGGAAAAAAATGGCAGTGAATCAAAGAAAAACAAAAACAAGACTAAATCAGGATCATGAAATACCTGCAACATCCAAATAAATCTTAACATCTGTTCTAGCCTTCACAGACCTGAGTGAGAAATGGGATCTTAGTGCAGTTTTTTTTTTCTCATTTTCTTTTTTTTTTTTTAAGATTTATTTTTATTATTTTTTAATTGGAAAGGCAGATATACAGAGAGGAGAGAGAGAGAGGAAGATCTTCCATCCGATGATTCACTCCCCAAGTGAGCGTAAAGGGCCGATACTATGCCTATCCGAAGCCAGGAGCCTCTTCCTGGTCTCCCACGCGGGTGCAGGTTCCCAAAGCTTTGGGCCATCCTCGACTGCTTTCCCAGGCCACAGGCAGGGAGCTGGAAGGGAAGCGGGGCTGCCGGGATTAGAACCGGCGCCCATATGGGATCCCGGGCGTGCAAGGCGAGGACCTTTAACCACTTGCGTCACCGCGCCGGGCCCATTTTTCTCATTTTCATAGGAACAAATGATTAGCCTGATGTGGGAAGATATTTTTCAACCAGGGCTTTTTGTGACCCTCCCCTACTGTCAATTTGGTAGTATAATTAACTTAATTCAGATTATCTACTTTTCTATACAAATGCAGCCATTGTAACAGAAGGATTCAGTCTTTTTTTTTTTTTAAGATTTACTTATTTTTATTATAAAAGCAGATTTACAGAGAGAAAGATCTGTCTGCTGGTCTACTCACCAAGTGGCCACAACAGCTGGTGCTGCGCCTGTCCGAAGCCAGGATCCAGTGACTTCTTCCAGGTCTCCCACATGGGTGCAGGGTCCCAAGGCTTTGGGCCGTCCTCGACTGCTTTCCCAGGCCACAAGCAGGGAGCTGGATGGGAAGTGAAGCAGCCAGGATACATGTGAGATCCCAAATCATGCAAGATAAGGACTTTAGCAGCTAGAATACTGTGTGGGGCCCAGATTCCGTAGGCCTTTTTATGTACGTCAACCACAATGGAACTATTCCCACAATGAAGATACAAAATGTTTCTGTAACCTCCCAAAGATTTCTTTGTGCCTCCTCCCAAACCTCCTGAAACTGTCACCGCCCACAAGGCCAGGCCACCCACTTTCCCCATCAAAGCCCAAAGGTAACAATTCATTGGCTTCCTCTTCTATACACTGTATCTGTCTTTTGTAGCATCTCATTCAAATGCAATTGGACATGCTGTGCACTTTTTTAAAGATTTATTTTTATTATTTTTTTTTTATTGGAAAGGCGGATATACAGAGAGGAGAGACAGAGAGAGGAAGATCTTCCGTCCGATGATTCACTCCCCAAGTGAGTGCAAAGGCTAATGCTATGCCGGTCTGAAGCCAGGAGCCTCTTCCGGGTATCCCACATGGGTGCAGGGTCTCAAAGCTTTGGGCTGTCCTCAGCTGCTTTCCCGGGCCACAGGCAGGGAGCTGGAAGGGAAGCGGGGCTGCCGGGATGAACCGGCACCCATATGGGATCCCGGGCGTGCAAGGCGAGGACCTCAACCACTTGCGCCACCGCGCCGGGCCCTGTGCACTTCTAAAAACTGATTTCTGGGGCCCGGCCACGAGGCCTAGCAGCTAAAGTCCTCACCTTGAATGCCCGGGATCCCATATGGGTGCCTGTTCTAATCCGGTGGCTCCATTTCCCATCCAGCTCCCTGATTGTGGCCTGGGAAAGCAGTGAGGACGGCCCAAAGCCTTGGGACCCTGCACCCATGTGGGAGACCCGGAAGAAGTTCCTGGATCCTGGCTTTGGACAGGCATAGCATCGGCCATTGCGCTCACTTGGGGAGTGAATCATCGGACAGAGTCTCTCCTCCTCTATGTATATCTGACTTTCCAATAAAAATAATAAAAATATTTAAAAGAAAAAACCGATTTCTGTTACTCATTGTACAACTTTCAAAAATTTTACAAGTTGTAGCAGTTCCTACCCCCACTTGCTTTTGGCTTCGTGAACAGAATTCCATACCATAATTCTGTTGGTGGAGTTTTACTTTTTTTATCATTATTTTTTGTTGTTGTATCTTCAGGGCTATGCCATTTATTTTTATTTTTTTATATTTATTTGAAAGGCAAAGAAAAATCTCTCAACCGTTGGCTCACTTTGAAAAAGGCAGCAGCAGTCAGGGCTTGAGCCTCAAACTGGAAGGCTCTAGAACCTCAATCCAGTTCTTACCCCAGGGAGTAAGGACCCAAACACGTCTGCTGCCTCAGAGGGTGTGTGTTAGCAGGAAGGTAGAATCCAATGGAAACCTAGACAACCCAGTGTGGGAAGTGGGCATCACAAACAACCTTAATCACTAAGCCAAACACCACTCCAAGATCCATTTATTTAGTGCTGGATAGATCTATGTGTTTTAGGGCTGTCATGGTGGCTCATCCAGTTAATTCTCTGCCTGCAGCATTGGCATCCCATATGTACCAGTTCTAGTCCCAGCTTCTCCACTTCTCATCTAGCTCCCTGTTTATGGCTTAGGAAAACAGTGTAAGATGGCCAAAGCCTTGGGTCCCTGCATCCATGTGGGAGACAGAGGAAGTTCCTGGCTCCTACCTCCTGGCTTTGGATCAGCTCAGTTCCAGCCACTGTGGCCATTTGGGTAGTGAACCAGCAGATGGAAGACCTTTCTCCATCTCTCCTTCTCTCAGTCAATTGGCTTTTCAAATAAAAATAAACAACTTTTTTTAAAGATTTATTTTATCTTTATTGGAAAGTTAGCTATACAGAGGACAGACAGAGGCAAAGATCTTCTATCTGATGATTCACTTCCCAAGGAGCCGCAAAAGCTAGGGCTGAGCCAATCCGAAGCTTGGAGCTTCTTTTGGACTTCTCACGCAGGACTTTAGCAGCTAGGCTATTGCGCTGGGCCCTAAAAGAAACTTTTTCAGGTCTTTCTGTGGATCAGAAAGATAGAGTCCTCAGGGACGTAGCCTCAAACTGCTAGTACTTGGTGTAAGAATCAGATCTGTCACAGGCTCTGCTCTCCTGGCTACTGGAATGTTGCTGGCACAAGCTTGCCCCTCAGCAACCTCAAACACTATTCCACATATCCCTACCTCCAGGAGCTGGGGACTATACATGAGGTAGGATGAAGGCCTAGGGTGGAACTGTCATCCAGGAGCTGGAGGGAGACCTTGCAGCAGGGGACATTGACCAAGTGCTGTGTTTAAAGCAGACTGAGAACATCGCCATTTGCCTTGCAATCTGGCCTTTCCCCAAGGAATGGGTGACCCAGGACTAGAAGAAGTTCCCATTGTCTGATGTGTCTTATTCCAGTAATAGCTAGGCGTGGAACAGACCTGTGGTCCATCCCTAAAGCGATGTGCACTTCTTCCAGTGTGGAAGACTTGTTCTCCACTTTGAGTCACAATAGCTACCACACAATCAAAACACACATGCTCCTGCCAAAGCAGTCATTAATACATAAATAAAGAAACCATATTGGGCCCGGCGTGGCAGCCTAGCAGCTAAAGCAGTTCTAATCCTGGTGGCCCTGGTTCTAATCCTGGTGGCCCTGCTTCCCATGCAGCTCCCTGCTTGTGGCCTGGGAAAGCAGTCGAGACCAGCTCAAGGCACTGGGACCCTGCACCCACATGGGAGACCCAAAAGCAACTCCTGGCTCCTGGCTTTGGATCAGCTCAGGTCCGGGTGTTGTGGCCACTTGGGGAGTGAATCATTGGAAGGAAGATCTTCCTCTCTGTCTCTCCTCCTCTCTGTATATCTGACTTTCCAACTAAAAAAATCTTTTTTAAAAATAATTATTTAGAAAAAGATCTATGGGTTTTGACAAATGCAGTGCTGGCATCCCATATGGTGCCAGTTCATGTCCTGGCTACTCCACTTCTGATCCAGCTCCCTTCTTGTGACCTGGGAAAGCAGTGAAAGATGACATAAGTATTTGGGACCCTGTACCCAGGTGGGAGATCTGAAAGTGGCTCCTGGCTCCTGGCTTCGGATCGGCTCATCTCCATCCACTGTGGCCATCTGGGGAGTGAATCAGTGAAAGGAACATCTCTCTCTCTGTCTCTCCTCTCTGTAAATATGCCTTTTCAATATAAGCAAATAAATAAATAAATCTTGAGAAAATAACAATGCAAAAAATGGAATGGAATGCATGGGACCAGCATCATAGCATAGGTAGCAGGTTAAGCCTCCACCTATGATTCTGGCATTTCATATTAATGTAGGTTTATGTCCTGGCTGCTCCATTTTTGATGTGGCTCCTGCTTGTGGCCTGGGAAAGCAGTGGAGGATTGTCCAAGTCCGTGGGTTCATGCATCCAAGTGGGAGACATGGATGAAACTCCTGGCTTCAGATTGGCCTAGTCCTGGCCTTGGCAGCCATTTGGGAAGTGAACCAGCAGTTTGAAGATTTTTTTCTCTATCTCTCCTTCT